CTTCTACCATAATTTTCGTACTACTATGGTTTATTCATGTCAGTTCAATGGTTGTAAAACCTTTGAAATATCAGAAAGGTCTTGCTCTTAAAACTGTTCTGAGTGTAAAAGTTTTTTTATGCTTAGATCGATTTACAAAATTTCTGACTATCTATATGCAGGCTTAATGTTGTCGTAAAAACAGGTTTTGCAAAATATCCTTAACAAATTGTCAAGGGGCTTTGACGTAGGGTCGGTTACTAGTGAAGATAGAATTTATGTTGGTTTAACCATAAACCCTGAACTTCTTAACCTTGCTATAAAGAACCCTTTTGATAGCAAACGTCTGTTTTCTTTCACAAACCCTAGATGTTAATCAAAAAGCCCCCTGGCTCTCTTCCCCAAAAAGCCATCCACTTTATGTCGTCTATTCTAAGTGCCTTAAGTTCGATCTATACACAAATTCTTATTTTCTACGAAAAATATTTTCGCTCTTACGCGGCTTACTTAGACACCACTTTACAGACTGCAACCTTCAAACCAAAATGTACGGTTTATTGGCAGCCAAAATAATAATTCTTAACTTTTACTAAAGGAATGAAAATAATGGTTTTGTTAAACCTTAACCAAAATATCCATTACTGTTCCCACAACAAAAATATAACTTCTATGCCGCAAAGAGGCATTTTTATCTTCATGAACGGCAAGGTAGAAAGGGCCAATATAATCATCAAGTTCAGACAACACTCAGAAATATGCGAAATTACTGTATCATCAGGCGGATTTATCCAACTACAAGGATGCTATGGGCTGCCCGCAAAATCAGATATCGACATTAAAAATTCATCCTTTGTAACGAAAGTGAAATTTTATCCTTTTAGTGTTATAAGGAATCATCTACCGGTTGATCAAAAAAATTGATTCTGATTTTATTATCAGCACCTAAAGAAGATAAGAGTTATATATCCGGACTTTTGGGTAGGACACTTTACTTGGTAGAAAAATTCAATCGTCAAGAGGTGGTGTGAAAACATTTTCAGGTTATCAAGGATGGGGGGAGTGAAAACATTTTTAAGCATCCAAGGGGGTGTGCAAAACATCTTCAATTTTTCCAGTGTGTTTGTGTGTTTGTATGATATAATTGCTGGCAATAGCAGAGTTATAGCAGACTTATGTTACTTCTAGCAAAACATAACAGTTCCAAAAAGACATGAGAAAAGTGCATTCAGTCTTTTGGTTATGAAAAATACCTTTAAACAATTAACGGTTTGTTTGATGGCTGTTGAAATTTCCAGTTAGCTACAGGAATTGTTGTATTCTTGAAAAAGATAGAATAAATTAACATATTCTAAACTGAATGCAAAAAACAAAAGAGGGTTATAGGTACATCTAGACCTAAGAGCAAGGATTAAGTACAAGTTATGATTTTTAATTGAAAATTCATCCCAGACTAGTTTGAAGCATTATCCTTACTGAACGCAAAAATATATTTTATAAACATACATTCAAAAACAAAACTTATGGGCAAATAAATTTCAAAAAAATAAATTTTCAACAAAGTTCTTTAAGGCACCAAAAATTTCAAACATTTTTCACAAAATTTCAGACGATTTTTAAAAAAACTTTGAACAAAAAAAACATTCTTATAACAAGTCTGAAACTCATTTGATTTAACATAAAAAGTCACAAGTAATCAAAGCGCACCTCATTAGAATTTCCATTATCCCAATGGCAATTATTTGTCATTTTACATGATGAAAATGTTTCATGATTGCTAAAAGAATTTTGTTGACAATATGTGAAACTGTTTCACTTAGTAGCTAGCTCTTACAACACATTCCTGTTATATGCTAAATATTTGTGAACTAATTACTCCATTTTCAAATATTGAAAAACTTTGCTGTGATTATTATTGAGTGCAAAAAATTTGCATGGTTAAAATTTCAGACCACGAACAATTTTGGACATTGAAAATTCTGGATGCTCCTAATGTCCAAAAACATTAGCATACAAAATTTTCAACATTTAATGTAACCATTAGCAGCTACATATAGGAAATTGGCAGATTGACTCTGGTCACAAAATTTAGGAAAAGAAGAGCACAATCTTGCCCACCAAAAATTGAATAGGGTAAGTTAACTATGCACATCTCAGCATCATCTGCCCTTTATCCAGTAACTGGTGACTGGTCAAGGACGTTTGTATTAGATGGCATAAAAACCAACAAATTTTACACCATAGATACAAAAGTGAAGTTTAGAAATAAAAATTAAAAAAAATTGCTGTCAGCTAGTGCTAAGTAACTGATATTTTATTTAGGAAAATAAATGAATTTGCTTTCTAGACTAATGTTAAAATTATTTTATAGACTACTTCATCCTTCTCATAAAAACACTATTTAGAAAGCTGCATGCTGTTCAAATTTAAAAAGTTGAATGTTTGCATGTATACATATCACCAACAAACAACTTAATTCATAAAGGTGACATTTTAAATAAACTGATTAAATACTTTTTGCAAATATCCCACTGTATTCTTCGTATCAAATCAGAACTCATATGAGTAGTGAAATAATGAAGCTATGTATTTCTAATGGCTAATTTTAGAACGGAATTGATTCTCAGAATCTAAAAAATACAACCTGGAGAAAAAGTTTATTTTGTCTTCTACACAGCTAGAAACCTCAACCAGAGCAAAAAAGAGACAATTCATATGAAGAATCACATTGTACAGTCAAATTTCCATAAGTCAGATCTCCTTGGAACATACAAAATAGTCTGTCTTAGGTGAAATTTGATTTACACATAAGTCAGATATTTTCAAAAAATTTAGAAAAAGAGGAACTGAATCTTGCTGAAATAGTATCACAGCTGAAGTATATAGTATATAATAAATATTTCATCACATGTAAAACACTAATCAAATGCATGTAGTCACAGATTGCTTGCTTGTGCAAACACTTTGACATTAATCTAATTATTAGACATTCTATTTTGCTAACCAAAGCCTAAAAAACCAAAGCCGTCATCTCCTCTGCAGTTGCTCAGTTTGCTATAGCGTCTCAAACTTCCCACCCCTTTCTACACACAGCTGATCCTGAAATTCCAGAGTGTTTCCCCTATCAAAAATTGGGGGGCAATGAGGAGTTGAGCCAGAGAAAATTGGGGGTCTGATTCCTTTTGAATAAGAGAAAATGCCCTTCTTCAAAGATATTTTTTGTGATTGGGGGGCCTTCACTCCCTCTTGCCTTCCCCTATTTATGACACTGAAATGATGATGTATTTGTCCTGTTGCAAAAATCTGACTTAAACAAACTAATTTCTGAAGGGACTTCAAAAATTGACATTTCTTATGCAAATATCCCACTTATGCAAGTTTGACTGTAGAGTCAATAAGAAAAAAAAATGGGTCAAGGTGCTGTATATGATTTAAGTGCAAATTTTCTTAGCAAAGAAAGTTTATTCTTACAAAATAATAGCTGTTAGGTAGGGCAACCCTATTACTTTCTATATGGGGTGATCCCTAGGTATAGTGATGTGACAGTAAAATTTTTTGGGGTGTTGATGTTGCTCAGGAGTGTGGTATAGTTGATGAAGTCTTTAATCAAGATATCAGCTAGATTATCATTAATAATAAATAATGTTAACACTTTAAACATAATATCAAAAACTCTTTAGATTTGCTCAGAGATTATGAAAAAAAAGCATATTAGAAAATGTTATTGAAAAATCATCTGAAGGAAAACATGCTACCCAATTTCTTCGGCAATTTATTGTCTTTCTGTAATTAGAATTTAAATAAAATGTGCAAACTTTTTAACAGCAAGACCTAGATAAAGAATCAACTTTTGCCATGGTAAATGGCACACTTAAGAAATCAAATGTCAGAGTAAGGCCTGATGTCCCAAATAAAGAAAAAGCACTTGTGCTAAAAAAATTATGCTGTTAAGAAATTGATAGTAATTAAAAGATTAATGACATTAATCACAACTTATTCCCTTGAATCCAGAAATTACAAAAAGGTTAGCCCAACATTGTTTGGGGGTAAAATTCACAAAATTTTTAAATTCTATGTCAAAAAATGTATAATGTATCTTTGACAGAAATCTAAACCGTTTGGCATCATGTTTACAAAATATTAGTTACCAAAATCAACTGCCTTGGTCAGGCTGGTCAGAATATTTAGTTTGTTGATAAAAGCTTGAGTGTTTAGAGAGAAAACTCAACATGTTATCGCTTTTTTTATAGATCTGAAGTAATGATTTCAGTGTTTTCCAAAATCGAAAAAAAAATATTTCAGTGCCATAAACTAATCCCAAAACTAATGTTCTTGAAATTTGAATCATTTTCTTTGCTAAGTGATGATTTACAAAGAGTGACTGTCTTTTTATTTAACTGGAAAACAGCATTTATTCCCTAGTCTTGATTATCATTGATTGACAAGCCGACTTAAAAAAATACAAGGGAAAAATACTGTCCATTTACGGCGGCTGAAACAACAGAAATCATAAGTCAAGTAATATTTGTTTTCCTTGCCATCTTAGGTAATTGAAGTGAAAAGGCAGAATCATTTTCGCCGTAATAGTTTGCCTTTCCCTTACAATAAAGCATCTACAGTGTGTATATAGTGATATGAGATAAACACGATAATTGTTCAGATTATTGTTCGGAATCATACTAACTCGCAGTCACCTAAGTTTGACAGTCATCTCCAGATATAAAAAAGCCCACACATATACCCTTAACATAGAGTATCAAAAAATAATAACGCAATTATCAGTTGGTTAATTTTTAATTGCGATCAGCTCAGTAGGCTTGGAAACACGTTATCGAAATTTGTTACCTCAGTAATGATACCCTCCAGCTCATTACCACATCGGGATTTTTCTAAACATTGAAAATCGGGAGTCTAGGCCAACTGTGACCATTGTATGACTCGCAGCAGCTAAATTCTAAGCTGCAAAAAACGGTGTATTTTAAAAATCAAGAATCAAATGATAGACGTTAAAATTGAATACTAACCTCGTCCATATTTTCATTATCTTCTTAAAGCAATACAGCGCCTTTCCAACGCCCCTGTTCGAATGTAAACAAATAATACTGCAAATGTCATACAGGCACTGTAAACTCCAGAAAGTTTTTGACAAGAATGCTTACAATAACTTGGTTCTGCCTTGCATTAGTTGTCGAATTTACACACAGCAACACCTGCAAAAGTTTACATACGCACATTCCGAGCAGAATTGAAAACAACAATCTCCGTATATCTTCACGCCAACCTTTTCAACATGACATGCAAATTGCGGCCACCCGTCATGTTTAATGATGCCACCTAGCCTTAAACCCTATGCAATTCAAACAAAACCTTTCAATTTCTTATGCTTTCCAAGGACATTATTCACAATGTAGTTCTTTTCAATTAATTATCATGAATCAATATGCGGTTTTAGCATTTTAGGAAGGATGGGGCGAAAGGTGCCGATTGGACAAAAAGGGGGCCGTGTGCATGGGAGATGGGACAAGAGGGCAGAAGCTTTGATGCCGAAAAAGACGCACAAACATTAAAGATTATAACAGGACATGAATTTAAAAAACAAGAAGGAGCAGCTACGAAGAGCAAGATTATTTTTTTGCGGGGATTTTTTCAACAAAATATCCCTAAAAAGACATTACTAAGAAAGTTCTTCGTAGATCATTTTCCGTGATTTAATTTAAATTCTCAATGCTCTAAACTTTTCTCGGGTAATAAAAAGGACGTCATTTAGTCACTAAACAGAATAGGATCCATTTTTTACATAGATGGGTATTTGCTAGCTTGCAGATTATTGCTCGTGTCGAAATAAACAAGTACACGAAAGTTACTACCTGAGGTGAATGAAGAAAAGAGAAAACTTTTAATGAAGTCGTTTACCACTACCTACTTCAATTATTGCCCCATTGACTGGATATTCTGTAGCAGAAAAAGGAAAAACTTAATAAACAATGTTAATAAAAGGACACTAAAGGTGGTATATAGTGACTATGAATCATCTTTTGAAAGTTTACTTATGAAAGATAATGCCTCAACAATACACCAAAAAACCTGCAGAGATTAGCCATAGAAATGTATAAAACCAAGATCAACCAAAATCCAGATTTTATGAATGATATTTTCAAATTTCATGAGCCTACATATCTTCTCAGAAATGAGTCATTTTTTTACTAAAAAAACCAATCACAGTTATATATGGAACTGAAACAATATCTTACAGGTGTGTAGTCAAATTTGGAACACTATACCAACTGAAATAAGAAATGTAACCATTCTAGAAATCTTTAAAAGGCAAATAAAACAAATTGTGATTCCATGAACCTGCAAATTATGCACCCAGTATGTACCAAATCTAGGATACATCACCTAGATATATAGATTATATAGCTCATCTTAGTTTACGACCTTACATACATATATATTTCTTCATCTTGTTGTTATGTTAGTTGGTATTAATTAGCTTATTGTAATTTTTTATAATTAAGCTAGAATTTTTATCCAACTTTAAATTAAGTATGAAAAAAAATGGTTGCCGAAGAAGTTGAGGAAATTATCGAATTTTGTTGACTCCAGTTAGCTGGAAAATGCATTCATTGGAGCAATTTTTTTAACCTTTATAAAACAGCCTTATTCAAATTCATATAATTAATATCCGTACCCAACGCTAAAACATTGTAATGTGGAGTTTGGTTTTCACTAGCTCTGGTTTGCCATTTAACAGTTAAAATATTAACGTCCCAGGGAGTGAAGAGGATCAAATTGAAATGAAAAATGAAAACAATCAAATATACCATCGACTTTAATTAGTTTTTAATCTATACCACCACCATTTTTGCCGAGTAAACACCAAAAATGCCAAATTTGCTGAGTTAAGAACAGATTCAAAACTCTTGGGGGTGGCACTCATGAGTCCCTAAGTGTGCGCTATTAGATCTCCAATATTTGCATGTCTTTTTAATGCTAGTGTAGGGGGCTTTTTCCACGGCTGTTTTAGTTCTTTATCTTTTAAAATCGTGTTTCAGTTGTCTTTAAGAATTTTACTTATATTGATAATCCGATTGCCGTTTGTTATGCCGAAAGAGAGGGTCGAGTTCCCGATATGGTGTGTAAATTACTTGGGAGTTACCTGGTTGTAGATTTTTACTCAATGGGATTTCCGTAATCGTAACCGTTACTCCTTCTTTTTCTTAAAACATTACAAGAGGTAGCAAAATCTTGCTCCGACAAATTTGTAAATTTTCTTGTATATCTTCCGATGGGTGGGCTAAGCAGCTCCAACGGGGGACTGTAGCCCATTTGCCTCCCTCTGGTGCCACCACTGCGGCTTGATAGCGCCAAAGTAATGTATTGAATGTAACTTCAGCTTTCCGCACATTTCAAAGAGCATTTTTATGAAATGTATGTAAAAAACAACATTGGTCTCTATTATATTCTCAGGCAAATAATTAAAGTCCCTGGCAAAAAACAAAGGCCCGAGCAAGATTCTTGTGGAGCACCATAATTGACACCATTGACAACAGAACACGTATTTATTTACAATAAACTGGTTTATACGAAACTAGTACTAGGATTGCCAAAAATTTGAGAAACTTCAGTGCTAGTCTCAAAAAAAAATGAAGAAACTGTAAAATTCCAATTTTTTAGTAAAAAAGATTCCAAAAGTTTTGAAATTTATAGATCTTTCTTTGGAAAAGATAGCAAACTTTTGATATTGGTCTGCATGGGCTTTTTCGTGACGAAATGCTTATATATTCTTTCTAAAATGCGCAGCTTAAAACCAGTAACGACGCCACGGAGGAGACTGGGGGACACGTCCCCCCAGTCGATTTTGTATTCGTCTAAATTCGACGAGAAAAGGTTAGGGGAGGGGTAATATTTTTGGGAATGCATTTTTGTGATGTAATCCTATTATTTTAAAACTGCCTTTATGTAAACAAAAGTTGGTCGTGGGCTTTTCTTATTGGCAAAACTGGTCTTCCTTGTTGGTAAATAGGCCTCTTTTGAGGCGTGGCCTAAGATTCATGTTTTGTCCCTCCAGATCCTAGTGGCTGGCACAAACCCTGCTTCAAACAATAAGGCAATTTAAAGTCTCCAAAAAAAGATAACAACTAAGAAACGTTTAGCACTAAAACGCCAAAATTCGGATACCAAATCTATAAACTTTTAGTATTTAGGGTTGATCCAAGTTTCTTACAAGAAAATCTGTCATTCTATAAGGATGCAATATTTGAAAAGTTTCTTTTAAAGGATGCATGCCCTCTTCACATCTACCAAGTTGGTGCCGGTGTATTTTAAGTTATCGACGTTAGAACACCATTCATTTAATTTTCCTAATCTTTATTCAGATTCATTGTAGGGGGGCTTCTCAAATTGTCAGGAAACGAAACGTGAAATTGATAGTGGTCTGTAATCGAAGGTATCGTCTCAAATATACCTAAGTAAATCCCTAGGAAAGTGATGGATTGAGTATATTACATTGAAAGCGTCCTATAACAAGCTATTTTGAATAAGTGCCAAGTAATGCTGGCGTAGCCTGAAATTGAAGAATTCACGTTATCTTTCGTTGTATCTGTAAACCAAAACTCTGCAGTATCAGGTAAAAGTGGATTAGTTTTAGCAACAATTTTATCGCATTGTTTCTTTCCAACATTGCAACACTACTCAGGATGCAATGCTGACGTCAAAGTCACAATAAATAGCATTAGTGGTCTGATCTTTTTGATACATTGATTGACTATCTTCCAAGTGTTTTTGGTAACCCTGAACATTGGCAAGTTTGATGAAGAAATATTTACCTTTTGGTTCAATATTTAAACAATCTAATTTGCTCCTATCTTGTTTACAAGCTCAAATAAGTGCTTAAGATTGTGCTTTACTGCCTGGATTTTACGTATGATGCTATGACCGTGGAGCATATTACAGATTGAATAGGCTAAAACGTTTTGGGGGCTAAACATGCTAAAAACCAAGAGCAAAGTATTTTGGAAATTATTGGGGAGAATTAAGATCAAATTGAAGTCCGAGGGACGATTCACTTATGCAAATAGCGTACGAGATTTTGTCTAAAACAAAAGGATTTCTGGGGATTTTCAGGTAAAACAATAGGATATTCACAAAAGGTGTACGAGATTTTCTTAGAGTGATTTGCCCCTCGTTGCAGTCGGTTTTAGGTCGCTTCAGCTATTTTCAACATGTAGGACAATTTCATAATTTGTTTTAAAATGAAGTGGTATAATTTCGAGAATTCTGAAGATTAATTTTATGACGCTTTCACTATACACCCTGTTGTTTAAACAAGGCACTGTATGTTGGCATTCTTTATTTTGAAAAACCCTGATGAAAAATTCGTTGTCTGCAACCGGCATTAAACTTTGCCCGAAAACAGACAGAAGATACAGTTGTCAGCTTTTCTCTTTTATTCTTTTATTCGTTGCCAATCTTTTCTTCTTCTATTTTTGAACGATTTAGAATGCTATTTTCTCTTAATCTGCTTAATTTTCAAATTAAATCCAAGTGTTTCATAGCTATAATAGTCAGTAATCTAGCACCTTGTCCTTCATAATGTCTACCTTCCAAAAAGTTTAAATAGCTTCAAATAAAACTTTGGTTTCAAGTTGTTTTTATAAACTGCATATATTGCTGAATATCTACATATAGTCCGCACTGACACTTAATAACTTACTTGCTCATGACAACGCAGATGCTTTAGGCGGTTGGAGAGGCCTAAAAACTTTTTTTTGACATTAGAACTAAATAATAACGAGAGGAGATAAGAACTAAATAAGAGAGGAGATAGGAACTAAATAGCGTGTTCGCAAATGTCTTCGATCTCCTTCCCATCTCTAATAGCCTGTAGGTTCAAGCATAGGGCTCAAATTTTGATTGGCTGCGAGCTTGCTCTAAATCACGTGACCTCTCTCGCCGCTAAGTTTGTTTACACTTTCCGGGGCTGTGATTGGCTCAGCGGCGAGAGAGGTCACGTGATTTAGCGCAAGCTCTCAGCCAATCAAGATTTGAGCCCTATGCTGTAGGTTCATAATCCACTAGCTCTTTTACTACAGTCGACGCAAAGGGAAATTTTTCTATTTAAATTTTGATCACCATTGGCCTAAATATGAATTAACAAGAATAATATAATATATCAAGTAAGTATCAATAAATTGTTTTTCTATATACAGAAAATTTCAGATCATCAAGAAGTCAGATTAATTGATAATATCTTTCGGGGAAAAGGGGCTTCAAAAATACCTAGTTGGGCTAGCCGTGCCGCGCGTTCACCGTTGAAGAAAATAGGGCACATGCCCTTAACCTCGCAGCCAATATTGAAATTGACTAGCCTACCGCATCCACCTGTAACATTTATGAAACAGTTGAATTATTGTTTAATTAACAATGCAAAGAATGAATGAATAGAAAACATTTTAACCTGCAATAACCGTTTCCTTTGAGATTAATCAAAGAAGAAATCCCTTTTATAAAATACTCAACGTGAAGAATCAATTGCGTTGAAGAAAAAATGCAGTGGGAAGACGAAATGAACAAATAAGAACAGGGATAAAATATTCCGATTGTAATCTTGACTTGCAGAGAGATTTTGTAAACTAATTGTTTAGGAAAAATATTGAATGGCTTGCATGAACTTTCATGTACTACAAATGTTGACAATAAGATTTCCGATATTGGACTTTTCTGAGCTCTAGATTACCTCATTTATTCGATTGCTGCCATCAAAGAAGCTTTCCAAATGCAAACTTTTTTATGCTTCTTTAAGGTTTTGCCACCGGAAGAAAATCGACGATACTTTTCAAATACATCGTTGCACTGGGGACAAATATTCATACGCATGTTTCCCATAATGCATTGTTCGGACTAATCTCAGTTGCACTTTACGTGTGCACCTAGCCTGCGCGCAGTCTTTTGTTCCCAGATCGCAACAGCAAAAAGACTGTGCGCAGGCTAGAGTTCATCTTTAGGATTTCGTAATTTCATAACACAACAAGGGATGGCAGTCAAGTCCAACAGACCCTTGCAAACACGACAACACTTCTAGCAATGAACTTTACCCTCATGAAATTTAGCAATGTCCAAGCTTTGTTATTGTTTTGCTCGTTTTTGACTTTCTCTTCCTGCCCCACCGCTCTTTCGTGGTTTCTGACCATGTGTGGCACTTTAAAGCCTGCACTGTGTCTGAGTCAACACATATGATTTTGATTCAGGTACCCAAAGCATGTCGATTATAACCAGCGTTTATGATCTTGCTTGAAAACCAAATATTGACAAGTTTATCACATTTTCAAGAAGTTCTCACATGGTCAAAGTTAAACAGCGTTTTGTGTAGCTGTGAGATCTTGATCTTCATCTCGTGGATAACTGTATAATCATCTCTAACAAAACAGATAACTGATAAGCACGGACGTCGTGGCTGGAGGGCTGGGGGTTAAGTGCCCCCCTTACCATCGACCATCCAACAATTTGTCGGAAATTTCGTATCTGTTCGGCAAAAGAATATTGTTCGTTTATAGAATGAGAATAAAGTTTAAAGAAAATATAAGAATAAGAAAGAAGATGTAAAGAAAAAAGTTATTTTACAAATCCGAATCTGTACATTTGCATAAGAAAATAGCAAGCTTGCCTATTGGTATTACTCGGTATTACTAAATGCGAGTGCGCCTTTTCAAAGCTCAAGTATGTGAAAAAAGGCTGCTATCAATAATGGGCCAAGAGAGGTTAAATAAATGTTTAGTTTAACCTATATGACACTTAGTTATGATGAGGTAATCGGCAATTTGCCGACACACCATTTCCAAAAAGACTTCTCATACACTGACAATCGTCCAGCTCGTTTCTTTTAATTCTTAAAAATATTAATTATCAGACCTATTGCGTGTTTTACTCTTCATCACAGATACTGAATAATGATGATTATGAATATTCAATGTTCGAATACGGGTGCTGGCTTTTCTCTGATCAACCTATTGAAATCAGTAAAATTGATGTTACAAAAGATGCATATTATTTGCCACATCTTTCTGCATTTTAAGAAAATCTGCACATGCGCAAGATTATGTCATAATTTTGCTGATACGATGGAGGGTAAGCCTTTCCCATGATGTTCCTGTTGATAAAATGGAAAGTAGACCTTAAACTCAAAAATAGATCCTTTTTATAGACACAGGCTACATTTCTTTTTAAAAAGCCCTGTAACCTATTTAAAAGGCACGTCTCTTTACAGAAAAAGGGCTAAGAATAGTAAAACTCAAAGAATATTCAGTTTGAGCCATGCCTTCCTTTTCGTCCATGCAGAAAGCAGATTCGCCACTGCCCAGGGTTGGCTATCTGTATAATTAAAAATGTATAAATAAAAGTCACTTGGTCAATAATAGCCCTTACCTTCAGGGCTTAGCGATACTGTTAGAATAGAAAGGTGTGTTCTAATTAGCTTACGTCACGTGACATTATTTTATTTCTATAGAGTTTTGTTTGGTAGTTGTTGAACAGAGTGGTGGAGTTATGTTGCGAAAAAGAGTTATGTTACGTTGAGAGTTATGGAGTTCAAATTATGAACTAAGTTTAATCTACGAAAGTTATTATAGAGTTACGTTTGCGTTGTATATATTATTCTTTTGTAAATAGCCTTTTTGAGTTGAGAAAATTATTGGAGTCAAGTTTGGAATTGGGTTGTATTTCGTTATGTGTTATCTGCTTGGATTCCACGAACCAGGGTGACGAAACACAGGTTTAAATATTAAAAACAACCCAGATTCAATTTCATAACAAGGTGGTTATCAACAAACTGTTAGAATGAAAAAAGGTACGACATTTTTGGTAGAAAATTATCGGTACCACATACCTCGCCTTCAACCAAAACCCGTTTGTTCTAAAAATTCATACGCCGTTTTCGGCCTTGTGTAAAAATTGTACTTGGCAGAATTGTTGTGCATTTTAAACATGTTTGAGCAAGTACAGTGATCATCTTTACTCGAAAAGGGTTGCATTCTAGGGACTGTGGAAGCGGGGGGCTCTCAGGGCTTTAGCCCCCCTCCAATAATTTCCAAAATGTACTTAAAACCATGCATAATGTCGCCCTGCTTTTGGTTTTTAGCATGTTTAACCCCCCCCAAAAAACATGGTTTCTCAACAGGTCTTGAAAATTTCGATTTGCACTTGCACCTGTTAAGAAAAATTTTGACGCTGATGGCACCATTTGACTGACTGATGGCACAATTTATATTTTTGAGTGGGTTTTAATGGGACTAGCAATGTCGAGTGAAGTTTTCTCAAGCAAAGATTTTTCTTTTTTTCAGTGATGAATGACGCCATAAAATGGTCAATCAAAAAGAAATCTTAAAAAAAGACAAAGTCGATATTGTTTTATTGAGTGTGTATCTGCATTTTTCCTTTAACTTTGAATGTTCTCAGAATCAACAGTCTTTCACAAGCACTATCTTTATAATCAAACAAGCACAGTCTTTCACAAGCACTATCTTTATAATCAAACCATAATATAATCTAAACAGAACTCGAGGTCTCCCCAAATCCAACACTTGGCTCAATTAAAACTATAATTCGTGTCGATAAGATCTTTCAAATGCAACTCACAAAGCACCTAGAACCCAAAGATTTGTAGCTTCAACCCCAAGGGGTTTTTTTAAACATTATGGATGGAAGCACATGGACCTCCCCGTGTATAACAAATTTGAGTGACTCCCCTGGGTTTCAACCCAACTGTACGTGTGTGGCCGTATTAAAAAGTATCTTGAAATAAACAGGGATGGATTAAGCGAGAGGGGGGGGGGGGATTTGTACGGCTACGGCAGGATTGTTGCAAATTTTGCTCCAAGGAAAGCAATCTAAGTTTAAACTTTGAATACTGTTTATTTTTTTTGGCTACTTTAGAAAGTCAGTTTTCACACGTAGAGCTTCATTGCCCTACATAATTCAGAATATAAACGTTAGTGGAATTGTAAAGGAAATAAACAGTTGCAGAATGCATACAACAGCTATTGTGTTTGATTACCTAACTGTTGCCACGTAAAAAAGGAATAGCTTTTCCAAACGCATTTAAAAATTGGGTATTTTCCCAAACTCTTAAAGGTGTGATCAGCAAAAATGTTCTCCTATTTGCCCCTCCAATCTTTCGACCCTGGCTACGCCACTGATTCTTATCTTCTTTACCTCAAAGTTAAAAACCAAATTTTGAAAATGGTTCTTTCTATCATTTACCAGTGACCTGAAGGGTGTGGCATCAAAGTCCAATTAGTTTCTAACACCCCCTCCCCCAAAAATTGTATCCGTCCCTGGCATCCTTTTTTGCATAATTCAACTCAATTGCCACTGTAAAAGTAAATTTCGTCCAAAATGGCGACCAAGTCAGGGACGATGAGCGCTCCACGTCACAATCAAATACAGTATTATTTGCAAGGTTCTGTTCCTTCTAGCAACCTAGATTCATTGATTCAAAGACTTAAAGGTCTATGTGAAATGGCAGCTGAATCGGATAGTGTGTTTGAAGATCACGAAATGGTTTATAACTTGAGTAAGTGATGTTTTCAGTTCCAGTGTGCAGAGTTTGGCAGTCCTCGAGGAGATCTGGCGTGTGCACCATAGTTCCAGTAAAATTTTCCGCATGAAAACCTCCTTTGCCTACCAAATAGCCTGGAAACAAAAATTTTCTATGATAATGCAATTGTTTTCGGGGTGCAAATTCAGAATTTTTGTGTGCCGGTCTGGATTTCATGACAGTTTTCGACGAGATCTAGGGAGTGCACAAGCTATTAGCTGGGAATGCAGGAGTGCACTTGTGATAAATGTGCACATTTGACCCCAGAATTTTAGTTTAAATACTTTTAATAATAACACGTTTCAAACAATTGCAAGAAAATGACTGCAAAGAATTATCTGATTTGTAGCCTAAAAAAGTAAGAAAAATTTCCTGCTCGCCTCGCTTGCAAGGGGCCTTGTTTTTCAGTTTTGCCCCAGGGCCACTGAGACCCTGTTCACACTTTTCCATGCAAGTTTGACACCGTGACAAATCTGTCATGGTTCCCTCTTCTGTTTACACTGGCACTGTGAAACCAAGATGATTTTTGACAAGAAGATGACAAGATGATGAGACAGTTATTGACCCTGCTATGAAGGCTAACAATATTTTTACCCCCACGTCTTCATTTTTAAACAGGACAATGACAGAAACAGGGGTCTGAAACTTTTCGGCAGCCCTGATCTCAAGAGGATCACTCAATCAAGAGGAACGCAGTTCTTTTCAATCCAAGCTACGAACCAATTTAGAAAGTCATTTAGCCATATTTGAAAAAACTTTTTAACTTGAGCCACCAACTTTTTAAATTTCCTGATTCTTGAATTTTTCTATGTTTTTACTTTTGAAATTTATCCAGTTTATATATCTATTTTCCAGTCTTAGAGCTCTGAAACTCAGAAAGATAAACTCAGAAATATCAAGTCTGTTTTAATGTCTGAGAATGTCTATAGAAGTGTATGTGCCTGAAAATGTTCATTCTCACATTTTATTAGGTAATAAATCTATTGTGCACTAGTAATCATACTGTTAATGCTGTTTTTTATTTAGAAGGAGGATCAAGCAATGTCACTTTCAGAGTGAGAAGGTCTATTCTTGCTCCAAATGCACTCTGGTAAGAATTATTCTTAGAATTATTCAATTACTCCTGGCTCCTCAGCTAATACATTGTTAGATTTACTAGTAGCAACAAAGCTGCATTCTGCTCCTTACTTTTGTATTAATCCATTTGTCTGTTTACTGATTGCTCACCATGTTAACAAAAATGGAGACTTGCTTTGTCCTTTTTTTGTTAAATTTTGATTGCTTTTTTTGTTTGAAAAATTGCAGTGCTCTTAATTATTTATTGCTTCCTATTCAGTCTTCACAAAACAAATGCATTTTTGTCATCTCCTTGATAGGAAGTTGCACCACAAGACCTATATTTTAGCAAAAAATCTCAGAGTGTCCTTTTGTTACCTGCTCTCTCTCTCTGTTTATTTTCTTTCATTCCTTTGTTTCAAGGCAGTTGTGCTACCTAGGAAGCCCAGAAGGTGGAGGTGATAAGACAAGACAGGCCTCGATGAGAACATGTGTTGAGGTGGCTGCAAGTGATAATGTGTCACTGTTCCTTGAAGAAATTGGATTTAGGTTAGAGATCCAAGTTTCACTGTTATGTTTTCAGGAATATTGTTGAAAATTAATCTACCAAAGATTATTGTTTCAATTACATTTTTTGCACATAAAAGCAGGCAATATTATCCAACGCTATTTTTTATCTTAGGTTTGATCATGAGCTTGTTTTGAAGGGCTATTGTTTCAGAAAAGGAAATATGAAGATTAAAGTATCAAAAATATATCGGGTAAGGAGAACTTTTTTCATACTGTATAGAAACACACCAGGTATTTTAGATAACTATAATTTACTTAGGGTAGGAGGGTGACTCTTTTGCTCTGCTAGTTTTAAGAAATTTGTAATACAATTAATATTTGACAGAATCATGGTTTTAACTTCTTGTATTACATTGTTGCTTTCCTGTTAGCTATGGATGTAAAGGAAACTTCACAACCCTAATCTTTTGAACCTCTAATCTTTGTATTGTATGATGTCATAAGTAATTAGACTTCCAGATGATTCAAAATCTTCCCAGTTCAAACAAGCAGGTATTTATTCTCCTATTAGTTTTCAAATGTAAAAAAATTCCAATTTTATAGAAACAGGTTGGCACTTTCCCTGGCTGCCCTTACTCCTGTCCATTGTCCTCCTGGTTTACAGATATTTTATTTCAAATAGGTGCTCAGCAGAGGTGATGTCAATCGGATACAGCCACTGACAGATTCACACTTAGTTGAAATGACTGCTAATTCAACTGTACAGCAGGTATGAGTTGATTTGATAATGTTATAAATGTTATGTGAATCTATACCTTTTTAGTGACATTGGGCCATTACGTTAGACGTGTTTAGCACATTGATTGGAACAAACTCAAATTCTTCTCAACACATCATCAATCCTTCAATGTTTTTTGAGAGTAGGCAAATGGCAATATCTCTATTTTCCCTATGACCTGTTTGTAAATTGTCAATATTTTAGAGCTGAAAATATTTGATATATCCCTTCTAAATTAATTGTTGATATATTCACTTATACTAGAAATATTTATCTATCCTGAGCTATTCTGAAGATAAGTATTTTTGTTTTTTCCTTTGTTTGTCAGTGTTAATATTAGTATAATAATCTACCTCATTTTACCCAATGTAACTGAATTTTCATTTACAAATAGGACACAATAGCAGAAGAAATAAAAGCCTTTGGAGAGCACTTGAAGCCGTATCCTTTTTTAGTCCTTTTTTGAAAAAGCAGTACCCCAGTGAGGTTAGACTCTTCACCAATTACCTTAGAAGCTTTAATGGTTTTTCCTTAGTTTTCCAGTGTAAACAAGGCACCATTTATTTTGTGAAAACTTCAGTTTGCAACTGTGATCATTAGTTGTCATCACAAGAGCTCTATTTAAAAGTATATATTGCTATCATGCAAAGAGATCTGTACTTGGGACTCTTGCTTGCAAATATTCTATCTAAAGCATGCTTAAGCACTGTGTGGTTAAAACCCATAATCTATTCTTGCCAGTTTGTTATCTCTTCAATTGGTCATTATATTGTTTCATATGCTTCTTTTATTTTTCTTCTTACAACGCTGAATGCTGGGGGCTTGACAAGTATATTCAGCATTTTACATTGTCTAAGTTAGTAGTTAGAATCCTTAATTTTTGCCAGTATCACTGTCTTAGAACGGGCAGAGCAGAGATAGCAAAACTGAACCAATCATCAACTAATTTTGAAGAGCCCATGTCATTGCAGTTCTACCGCTGTTGGTCAGCAACATAAGGAACAAGAAACAAATAAGAGAAAGCAAATGAAAGGCTTATCTCAATCGCTGCATAAGGTTCGACCTCTTGATTTGCCACTAGCAGAGGATTCTAAACCTTACAACAGACAATGTTGTATCTCATCCCAACAACTCTCGCAATCTTGCTTTAGCTACAATAGTTGGGGTGCCTGTGACACCCTAAGGCCTTTTACACTGTTTGTAAATTTGTGATATTGTTCAACTTTTATTGTCAACATTTTTTTGTGGAGAAGAATTATTTTTTGGACATGTTTTCGATGTGCTTAATTGCTTCTGTTTTTTATCTGAATATCTAATGAATGAATATCATAATTATGTAGAAATTAGGACATCAGGGAGTGCATATAATGTTGTGTATATAATTGTTGTTAATAACGTTGGAGAACAAACACATTGTGTAATTATTTTAGAGGTACTTGTTTTAAAGCTAATAACACCATCAGCTCGACCATTTTTGTCATCACTGCCAGATAACGTCAAACAAGCACAGCATTTTGATAGTAAACTTGGTGAAAGTCTAAAGAAACTTTTGTTCAGGTACAACCAACTCTTGCAGTCTCGACAGAATAGTGTTGGGAATGAATGTAATTATTTGATCACTTAGCCAAATGTCATAGAGGTAGTTTATCTGTTGATCCTAGTTTATCTTCACAAATAGTAATAGTTGCTAGAAATCGTAACTCCAGCTCAACCATGAGCTCAATCATACACAGGCAATACACATGGAAACAGAAAGACTCTTTTCACTTTGCTATTTTGTATGAATGCATTATACGGGGGTTTAATATATGCACAACTTTTTTTGCACAGCAAGGGATAAATGGATGTTGTTTTCAGAAACAAATAAATTTAGTAAGTGGTCAAACTTACTAGACATTTGCAGTTGTAAAGAAAGAATCACAAAACAATTGTAAACAGAAAACAATAGATTTAAAAAAATAAACAGGATAGAACGACAGATTATAAAGATGGATCCACATACAGGGATAGCAAAAAAGGAAATAAAGAAGAAAGAAGGTCCTGGTAAAAAAACTGCAGCAATTTAAAGATGAAATGCAATGCAAAGGAAAAAAGAAAGGAGAAAACAAAAAGAGATTGAAAAATAACAAGAAAATAGAAAGAATTTTAAATGGTAACTGTAAATGACATTTGATAAAGGAGAAAAAAAGGACTGTTTAGAGAAAAGGAACTCTACTACGACATGCGTTCAGGTAGCTTTTTATATGGTGTTTGTGTAAAACCCTTAATACATTTATTCAATCAATGGTCAAACATACATTTTTTATACCAAAAACAATATCCTTCCTAAATTTTGTAAATTTTTTAGAAAAATAATTATTTCTTGCTTTTGAGCAAGAAGAAGACGAGTTCGAGATTTGAAAATTTACACATAATGCACATTTGTGCTGATTGAGTTTGATAAGGATTATTTACAGGGATGTTGGATTAGGGGAGGAGGGGAAAACAAAGAAGTTGGTCACTATAAGGACTGTGGTATGGAATTTAATTAAAATAAAGACGTTTCTTGAGCTGCGATTCTGTACTTTTTAAGGAAATTTTAGGACAATAGCAAAAACTTAATAGTAACATCAAAGGAGCATTATACATTGGGCCCCTTCAATGAATGCATTTTTCTCCATCTGAAGTGCAGGGCCAATATAACATTCCAAAACGCTGACAAAATAATTACTTTGATTATATTAATAATATGTAATCTTACGATATTCGATTTTTTATTTGAAATCACAAAATTTGAGAAAACAAAAACTAATAATTATCAAAATGGTTAAAAATCTAAAATCATGCCACCAATAGATGCAGTTCACGTCCTGAGTGTGCTAAAACAAGTCATTATGCCAGGTACTGTTCAGATAAGCTATCTGGAAGAATCCTGAGGATAAATAAGAATCATGTACAGTTTTTGATAAAAAAGTTTCATATAGCCAACACAGAACAGAAAGAAGATTTTAAGGTCCTGTTACATAGCCAGGTTTTTAGCTGACCAAGGTGATAAAGAGGGGGATATCTGATGAATATATCATGCATATCTTTTCTGTGTTCTGTAGGGAAGAAAATTCTTGAAAATCTGATCACAATTGGAAGGCTGCAGGCGAGAGTTCAGTCATTCAAGAGTTGCAACTGACTATCCCGAGATTTCACAAATCTGGCTGCTACTTGTCATGATTTTGCAACATAACAGTTTGATTAGCTGTTACTTTGGCCATGAGTCCCCTTGTCTCAAGTGCCAACAATCATAAAAACCTCACTTCTTTAGTCCTTTTAAAAAATTAAAGTTAAATTGACTTGCACAATGACAAATCAGGAGAGGTGAATCTGGCTCTTACCCTGGCGAATCGACATTAAACAAGGCGAGAGATTTCACTGACAAGCGTATTTTCCTGAACTCTTGGAAGAACGTGGTGAAGAATATGATAAAAAAGAATGCCATTAGCCATTCTGAGAAAGTGCTTGTTAAATGCCAATTGTAGCCCTGAAATACAGAAACAAGACATGTTACTTGTATCCAAATGAGCATTTACTGGGTCAACAGTATCGCACAACTGATGAAAAGCAGCTTTTCCAAATACTCACAATTGTGAAAGCTCATTTGGAAAAGGGGCATTTAAGGACCTTAGGTAAAGGTTGTGGTAAGCAAATACTGTCTTTGAAATAATTTTAACCCTGAAAAAGTTTGCTTGGTTTTTGTTTCAACTTTGCCATCCATAGAAAGGCAATGTGATTTTCTTTATATTGGAAAATGATTTCCTAAATAAACTGTGCCTTACAAAATTTTGTCAAATATGTAACTAGTGATTTTTTCCTCATTTAGAGTGCTTTCTGTCTTGCTAGATTCCTGACTATGAAGGAACTTTTGGGAAAGTAAACAATCCAGTCCCCTTTCCTTGAACTCCACGTTTGTTTGAAAATTTCACTTCTGAAGAAATATATATTTGTTGATTTCATAGGTACACTTCATATTACTTTCATGAAAGGCTATACTTGAAAATGACTTTGAAAAAGCAAACATTTTATAACATATTGGCTAAAAGCTTTTTCGTCTGAAACTCCAGAGCTTAAAACGTCAGAATAAGGGTCCAAAAAAACAAGATGGAAAATCTATACCCAGTTTTGGATCGAAATAGGCCAATCAGAAAAACGCAAGCACAAGACCGGTATGGTTGACCAATCAGTGCTGCGAGCCTAAAGAAAAATTGCCACTGGATTCCAAGAGAGAAAATTGAACTCCTTCTGTCTACACAATGGTGGCCTTTTCGTTTGTTTGTAGATCTGTTCCAAAACTGCTAGATGAAAAGAAAACCGGGCTCTGCAAGTTATCTGAAACATGTCGTCATTATAGAGTTTTGCACAATCTGGGTTGTCTAAAAGGTGTTGTCTGATGGCAGTCACTAGTTTTTACTTTGTTTTAAGACCTACAAGATCAAGGTCCAGTGTTGTTTCTTATGTTGGAAGGAACATGTTGCTTTATCCTATCCCCCAATCATTGGGTTGTGCGTCCTACCTAGCCACACTCACACTAGTAATAGGAACGGAGGGTCATATGGCATGTAAATGCATAAACAACAGAACTCTTTTGGGTAGTAGGAGCGCAATCCTTTTGAATGGATGGAGGGGCTTTTCTAGCACTGTATACAATACGAGGATTGACAGCAAAGAAACATTTTGTGATGGCCTGTTTGATCTGACTTTCAAATTGCAAGGAACTGTTACCAATTAATTATAGTTTAAGAATAACACGAGACTTTTGTGGGCCAAACTTTTGGACAGCCTTACAACTTGCGATGTTTTCCCTAGTGTAAATAGAAATGACATCTTCTGGATAGCCGTCTTCCCGGAAGATCGTTTTACATATGTCCAGCTCTGCGTGGAGTTTTGTTCTCAAGCAGATCAGAAGTGACCTGTGAAGTTTCGACGAGGTTGATTTTGTCATTGTTTGGGTCAGAGTATGTACTGACCTGTAAAAATGGGCTTGCAATATACACTGGCAAGAAATCCAGTGTTAGACTTTTCAACCAAAACACCCAGAAATGGCAAGGAATCATTTTGAACATAAACTGAAGGGCTGGATGTAGGCTATTAAAGCATTTTAGAAAAATATCACACAGCCTCTGATTTCAAAGGCAATATTAAGTTCCAAGATAATTGGTCAACCAAGCAAGAATTTTTCCCAATTTAGAATTCAATAATATGAAATATAATTAATGTATTGAGTGGTGGATTAACCAATAAAACTGAATGTGTTAGTAAAGACTTACCGGTAGTTCATCTGTCCAATGCATCTTTGTTGAATTACCAGTCTTTCCATTTGCCCACTCTAAGTTTGCAAAGGAAGCTCCAACAAAAACTAGTAAAAACAGTTATGGAAAATATTTTTATATCACATGTATTATTTATGAATGAATCTCCTTGGAAACAGAATTAGCCTCTAAGTACAAAGAGAAAACTTAGCAAAAGGAAATTGATGTGAGACTGGGTTAGAAGGTAGATTGAGGAAATAAAGTATTTGTGACAAGACTATTTGGATGTTAATTGGACAGAAACAAACATTACGGCATGCAAGGAGGGTTAACAATTTTCATTATATGAGCATAGTAAATAGCCCTGACTCTTGGCGTATAAATACATCATTATAGCTGCCTCTGTTTTATTTACTTCAGATCTGTTACATCAAAAATCTCCAGCCAAGAGACTGTCACATTTCTTGATTCTTAAATTAACTTTTTATGAAATTAAAAGCTATATGAGTATTTCTTTAAAAGCAGCCTGTGAGAAAAGGATACCAAAGATGAAAAAAACTGTGACAAAGAACGAGATCAGAAACCGTAAATAAATTGTTAATCTGGAATTGAGTCCATTCTCATAGCTCTTGTATGTCAGGTAGGAATGGACCCAGCAATATGCAACTCCACAAGCAAATGTCATTCCAGCACCAATGAGATGGACCGTTAGAATATTAGTCTCCTACAATCAAAGCCAAAATAAAATGATAGAAGAAAAATAAAACCTTTATAAGGCTTATCAGTAAGAATAAACAATGTATGTATGCATACCTATGTTTGGGCCCATTGGAAACAATCTATTTAAGACCCAGCTGCTTTTCTGTTACACCCTATTATACACACCCTTTTTAGACTGTTATGGTGAATCAGCATAGACAACTGACCATTGGTAGAACAGCAAACAAAGAATAAAGGAAAAATTGTCTATAGCTTATATATGCTATGATATAGATTTTGAGCTACAACTTAAAACGATCATGTTCTGTCCACTAAAGCATGCTTAATCTAAGTCTATTTTTAATGAATTCTCAATAGAGAGCATCATAAATGTTACCTGAAAATTGGCAACAATACACAATCCAAAGGCACTGAAGAACCCAACAAAAAGTCCAATGTCATTAAGCAAATGACAGGATCGATGGGATGTGTAATTTGCATAGTTTTCATGCCGTATGAACATGCATATGAAGGCTGTTGACAGAAACAAAACATTCAACAAGACATTACAAAAAGTATACCCTAAAACTGATTTAACATATGTGAATAGCAAAAAGGGATAAGGAAACAGTTTAAGAAGCAAAGAGCAAAGGGAGGACTTTAGTACTATGATTAAAGTTTTGCAATTTTTAATGACCAACAAAGAGAAGCTATAAAACATATGGAAGATTGATGGTGTTAGCTCAAACATGCCCCAAAGCTCTTTGGAAGAAATACATCTATAACACATAAAACGTTTTTTAAATATTATTCTTCTCCACTTGATATATAAAGATAACTTCAAAAAAGAGAAATTTCTAGACAATTAATAAAAAAAATTTCATGTCCAAATTTCCTTTCTGTTGTCAAAGCCTTTATAGCCTCTGGACTGTAAATGTCAATTGGTCTAACACATATAAATGTATGATTGTACTGCAGTCTAAAATAATATCTAAAAATCAAAGTGGATACTCACAGAAAAATGCTCCGATGTTCAGAAAGAGACCAAAAATACAGCTTTCTGGAGCTGTGGTCCCAGTTTCACTAAATTAATGATAAAGTTTCACATTCAACCATTTAAATCAATCATTCAAAGTATTAAAAATATCAGTGAAATTTAAAAAAATGGCAGCTGTCTACCCATTTGTATACAGGGCCATCAAGAGGGGGGCAAAAGGGATAATTGTCCCAGGGTCTTGGGGTCTAAGGGGCCTCATAAAGAAACAGATTCCATTTTAAGAATGGAGTTAATCAAACATGTATGCATAGCAATAGAAAAATGTTCTAAAAGATTGCAAAGAAATGACTGCTGGATATATTCTGAATATATATCCAAAACCTATTGGTGGCCCTGTTTGTAAATAAGAGAAAGAAACAGATATTCTGGGAAGACATTATTACAGATTTTCTAAAAAGGCCATATCACACATACTGTTTTGAAACATGAAGCTTTTGGAAGGAATGCAAAAGTATCCAAAAAATCTAATAAATACTGTAAAGCTTTATATTGTGAGGTTCTGGAGGTGGACTAAGGGCACTTTTAGTCTTAGATAGTTAGCCTATTCAACCTGCTGTTTGCATAAAAATGCTGTTTTGGTAGATTAGCAGCACTTGGACCAAGATGCTTAAATATGGACTGGTTGTCATAGCTGCAACGAAATTTTTGTGCCAGTCACAAAGATTGCCAAGGAAATTAATAGCTGAGCTCAGCAAACATTTAAAGAATTGGAAATATTATGCAAGAAATTGTATAATCAGCCTCATAATTTGTATGTTTGTCTTTAAAATTTTTCTTTGAACAGGGGAGTTTATTTGAGAGATGGGCTAACTACAGCGCTTAGGTAATTTATTATGGCATGGATAATAACTTACCTGATATAGGGCAAAAGCGGATTCACATGATCTGAGTTTACAGACATACCATATCTAAATAAAGGGTTCATAGAATTAATATCATAGCCTGCTTAAAAATTATATTGATGCCAAGATGAAATTCTCGAATACAGTAAAATGAATTTGAACATAGTAGACATAGCTTAAAGATAGTTGAAAAAGGAAAGCGTATTCACATTTCTGTCATTCACAAAAAAATAACATCATTTATGATACATTAAGAGCTTTATCACTGAATTGTAACATGGCTATCCCTTGACTGAGAAAAGAATTGGTTTTGATAGAAGAATTAACAACTTTGCAAATAAAGGAAACACTCAGCTTTCTAAGAATTCTTTCATTATCATCAGATGCTGAGAAAATATTGTTACCTCATTCTAAATTGTTTCATTAATTTGGAGGTAACTCTTGCCAAAGAATAAATAGATGTTGAAATTGTTCTACCAAATTTAAAGCAAAGCATTTTTGTTTGGTGTATATGACAAATTTGAATTGGAATGAGCTGTATCAAAAAATTTGCCTATTAGCAATGTATTATCATTGGTGTCTTACTTACGCTGTAAAGAAAGAAACCATGAGAGCAGACACCATCAGAACTATGAAATGGTGTGGCCTTATCCATTTGCAGAGCAAAATCTAAAACAAATAGGTTTTCTCAGTAACATTCAGAAATATTTTTGCAAAAGATAAGGAAGGGACATTTGATTTATGTCAGTTGGCATAGCATTGCTTATATATGCATAATTTTGTCACTTACACATATATGCAAAGTTATCAACTTGGCACCTAAGGTACATTCTTAAAAAAAAAACCAGTGTTTGCAACTTCTTCCAAAGCTAAGAAGAGGCAAAAGGGATAGTATACAAGATAAAAGATTAGATATTACGCCCCCGCTACCTCCAGTCATAAAAAGCAGACTTTACAGAACACATAACAGAAAGCTAATATAATAAATGTCTAACAGGAGGTTAGCAGACAGGAATATACTAAGCCTCGCCTATAGTCTAGTAAACAGACTTATTATGCTGAGGATACAGTTAAAGTTTATATTTTCTATATCAAGATTCAAAAGAACTTTCATTCATACCTCCATAACATTTGCCATCTTGCAAAAGAGTTGTGCTCCTCTAATCAGGCGTACCCTTGCAGAAGCAACTTCTCTCGGCAACAACTTCAGTGAAATGGCACAACAACGAAGAGCCTCTTTTAGCCTGTACTGTATTGTCACGTGATAGAGTTCTTGGAAGAGAACTTGCCCGACAAATTTCCCAAACGAAAAGCGAAAGTGTCGCTGAATCACTTTTGTGACAATAGGCTATTAGCAACACACCCCAAATTCAAAGTTAAACACCATTTGGTTCAAAATGCTCTTGATCGCATTCTGAGAAATTGCATGAAATAGGAATTAGAAGGAGGAACCAGTGGGAACATGTGGGTGTAGACGCACCTCTGGAATTTCAGTTGATTGTTTTTTCCCTCTCTCTTCTCTCCTTGCTTATTCACAGTTAACTATTCGATAACATACATCTAACGCCTTCTACATTACCCAGTTCATTACCATTTAGGTTAGCTATAAAATTAACACATGCACCATACAGGGGCGGATCCAGAGCAAACTTGAAGGAGGGGCAGTTGGTAGTGGGGGCGCTGAAAATTTTTCAAAAATTGACGACGAGAGAACGCTATATACAACAATTTCAGATCAATTTTCGGAATAAACAAGATAACTTTGAAGTAATCCTTGAAGCAAATTAACTTATTGGTCTCAGAAACTTTTTCACCTGATTCTCATTCTTCAAAAGGGGCGCACAATTTCCAAAAAAGGGGCATACTTGCTTCAACTCATCGAGGGAGGAGCAACTGCCCCTAGTTGCCCCCCTTAAATCCGCCACTGGCACCATAATAAACAACCCAGGGACTTAAAAAGAAACTAGACCTTCAAAGTTCATTGAGCTATATTCTCCTCGATTAGACTTGAAAAAAGAGGTTGATGCTACCACCATATTTGATTCATGCAGTAACTGGGTTGAGCCATTCGAAAAAAATAACGTTTAGGAATATTGTTTAAAAGAATATTCAGACTCAAAGTCATCCAATTTTTATAAATATTATAAGAATATTGCTCAGCGTCGGCACGCATATTTGTGTCTCGTTTTTCAGCAGTTGTCTGTTTTGAGTGAGTGGTGTTCCCCTTAAACGATATCAGCTTTGAAAAAAGCAAGAATACTTCAAGAATATATTCAGGCTCAAAACAAAAATTTCTTAAGAATACTGAGGCTGGGCAAAATTTATGGCATTCTTATTAGGGAGTGCAAAATTTATGGCATTCTTATTCCTTTTTCTGACGAAAAAGGCAAGCCTGTTAAAAAGACGGAGCCCCTCAGGGAAATGTCCTCGGTCCCCTTTTGTTTTTACTAAATATTAAGGATCGACATCAAGCATCCAAATTTTGCAAGTTTGGTCTCTTTGCTCATGGCATTTTTTCTTCCAAACAACATACAAACCCTAGAAAAAGATTCATTAAACTCGTACACTTATAAAATTCGTTAAGGCTCCAAAGTTGATATGCATTTCCATGCCGCCTGTGCCATTGTCTTGTTGCATTTTGATTGTAAATTTCAAAGTAGTTTAGAAAATGACATCTTTGTTCCAACTGCAATAGTACAATTTGTATTACGAATGCAGTACCCTAAACAAAGGGTTTACTTTATTTTTTTCACTTATTCCGATAATACAGTAAAGGTTAATGATAGGGAAAATATGGTTTCTTACTATCTGAATGTTTAGCAACATTCTACTGACGTATTAGATATATCTTGTTCTAGCTAAAACGAGTTTCTATTGTTTATAATTAATCTGAGGCTCAGAAAAATTAAAACTTCAATTTCAAATGTTTCAATGTTCAGAGAATTGTGTTGAATAATTTTTTTAGAATTTTGTTTATATACACTTTCATGTACTTTCATTGTTCACGCATAATAACCATTGTTTTCAAAGCATTTTGATACTCTTTGTTGTTCCTAAATGCACTACACATTAACTCAATATCCAAGGAAACAATGTAGCTTGTAAGTTTGTTTGGTTACAACTTTCGGTTAGTTATTGAGAAATGAAGTTGAGATGAAAAATGGAAGATATAATTATAGCTTTGATATCTCAAGCAGTAAGTTCGTTTCATTTATTTTGTGTATAGAGATGTACTAAAAAAACTCTTTAGACTTGCTTACAGAAAACCTTTTATGTTTTATAATTTGATACTGGTTAGGAGGCTATGTCCACTTTTTAGCCTTCGCTGTCAAAAAAATGTCTTGAAAAGTTTAAAATATCTATCAAATACCATCATTCAATTAATTTTTTTAGGTAAAAATTGTTTGATTGTTTACCATGATTAAGTGGAAAAGATTTAATGTTAATTTAGCCCCCTCCCTTTGGCCCCACTCTAAAATATGGAAAATTTATTAAGTCCACCGGTGTTTTATTAGAGCATTAACGGTATGAGTATTTCAGTCTAGGTCCAAATATACAACTGTAGATTTCTATTATTCTTTAAAAACTGTTGAAAATTTTCAGAATAATATAGAAGGACCTAAAAAATTATTCATTATGTTAGAAAGGTATTGATTTAAGCCTCGAGGTTGTAATGCGGCATTACTGTTCTCTGATCACTTCGTATTTGCATATGATAAGATGGTGTTCTGCATATGCGTACGGGCCGGGGGGCTGGGGGGCGGCAGACCCCCCCCCAGTTTTCGAAAAACTATGTCAGTCGGGCAATTTTTCAAAAATTCTCCGCAAATAGTCGGGCAGAAATGACACTGGAAAGTGATGGGACTTACTTTAGGCAATTTGGTTGAACATTTGTGGATTCGTCAAATAACCCAAAAACTGAAAGCTACGAGTCAATATCGTTGCATTATCAAATCGACCAAGAGTGCCTTAAAAATGATAAGATGGTTTTTGAAAATTACAAGAAGCAAAGCGCTTCTGAATCTTATGGTAATAATGCAGCAATGCTTTTCCAAAAGATGTTTCAAGAAAGTTTGCATCAAGTGCTGCCATTCCTGTATGAAACAACATCATTGCTAGCAACGATTCCAGCAACATCTTGCTCAGCTGAAAGATCATTCAGTGGCCTTCGACGGCTGAAAACATAGTGTCTCAGATCAACCATGGGCTAAGAACGGCTAAGCAATTTGGCACTACTTAGCATCGAGAGAAAATTTTCAAACGAAGTTTTGAAAAGTGACATGAATGCGATGATTGATAAATTTGTACATAGAAAGGGTCGGGACTCACATTTCTTTTGATTGTAGCCGAATGAAAATATTATACATTGCTGCCCTTATCTATGAGAAACTTAGATCAAACTTTTAGACATTGTAGAAGAATCTCTCAACTGACTATTTTTACTTTAGATATTTCGGTGAAAAATAACTCGTACTAATGTAAATATTCCTATGTCAAGTTCCTATGTCAACAGGCTCATAAATATATGCATGCCTCTGTACTCGGGCAAAAATCCTACCGCCCCCCTTATAAAAATTCCGCCGTACGCTTTGTTCTGTATCCTTAGATACATCGTTGATTGGGGACACTGCGCTACCTATGCCTTACTTTCTGAGCAGGTTTGTGCGCTACTTTAAAAATCTTTTTAATGTAGGTCCTGTAAAATAATTTCACCAGAAAGCATCTCGTTCTAGGGTGTTCCTCGTAGCATTGCGAAGTCTAGTATTTTCCAAGATGGGAACTGAATTCAAAAAGTATTTTTTTTACTTTTTCCTAAAGATAGTATAAAATATAGATTAGATACTAGGCTTAAATTTTATTGGGAGAACCAGTATGTTGGAAGTCAGGGCCTTTTTAACATACTAACTAGGGGGGCAATTGCCCCTCCAGCCCAAGTGACTTTCCATTGTTTTAAACAATAGGCTATTGCCCTCCTCTTTTTATAAACAAAGGGTTGCCCCGGAGCTAATTTCCCTTAGAATAGGCTATGTTGGAAGTGGTTTGATGTGAGCTTATGAACGTCTTGATGTAGGAGTTAGGTCAGGTCATCATCGGCTAGGACCTTTCATGGGCTGAGCGTCACCGGCTCAATTTGAAATTCAGCTCGATGCTTCTCTAAAGGCCGTACTTCGAGGACCCCACCCAACCCCAAAAAATTGAAAATCCTTTGTTTCTAATGGAAGGTACCTTTTGTTCCCAAAGCTATCAAACAATGGTGCCGCCCCAATAATTCTATATCCTTTTAAAATTGCCCTTTAGCAGCGGATGTATAACGTCATTGTTGGGAAGGGCGCAGCCTTTGTTATTGAATTGAATTATTACTTGGAAGCAGCATTGAATGCAACCACAACAACTATGTGGTCAGGCCTATTGAAAACAAAACAACGAAATGCAGGTGTGATAACGGTGTGATTCATAATAGGCATAACAATTGTTATACAATTGGCCGACTTCGTTGCTATTATTTATCGGGAAACTATGTCGGTGTATTCTTAGCCTAGGCGTCGTCCGTGCTGTGCTTTTAAAATCTTGCAAGTGAAAGTCGGAACAGTGGTTAACCTTCCTGTGGTTGCTCGTACCAGGATACAGGCAAATTCTGTTCTGAAGCCCCATGTCGCAGTAAGGGGAGAAAAAAGAGTTGTGAAAAGTCAGAAGTAATTTGGAAAATGGCTGTGAAGACGTTTCTAGTGGCTATGAATTTCCTTCTTTATGTCTGTAAGTATCCCGTCAGTTACTGTAATAATTTAGGCTATTTGAAAATCGTTTCATATAGTCTAGCTTATGATGATAATTATTATGAAATGCGAACCTTCCTTCATCAGAATGTGTAGTATAAAGTAATGAATTTTATGTTTCGAGACCATCGCACCCATTCGTGGCTACGTACCAAGCCAGAGAAAAGGTAATGCCGAGAAACATTTTATGTAACAAAGTTGACATCAACATATTTTCGATTAAAGATCAAGATAGCATTATTATTTTTTAAAGCCAGGCTCACTCCCTAGATCGATATGTGACCTCTGCTAAACGTTCCAAGTAGCTATTTTGTTCTCACAACAATATAGCTGACCTTCACAGTAACTGGTTGAAAATGTTTTGATCATGGATAAATACACCTTTATGATATGGTTGCATTTATTTACCCCAAAAGATTGTTAAAATTATTTAATAAAATAATTTGAGCCTATCTGAAAAAATACGAAATTGATCAACAAAATGCCTATTTGTGAAATAAGAACCACCCAATCAAGTCATGTTATAGTCAATTAAAAAATCTGCTTTCAGCATAAAAAGCTCAACAAATACTTAAAGTATTGTAAGTGTAAGTCTTTGGTTAAAAGCTTTGAAAACTAGAATCCTTGGATTTCTTTTTCAGAAAATTGATGATTGTTTTCATTAGGTTCTTATAGTTTGTGAGGTACATATATGGTCTATGTTCAAGACCTGTTTTGTGCTTTCTTTCTTGCTCTGGTGAGCACAAACCTTCATAAAAGCTCCTCAATTGTATTTTGAAGAGAATCTGTGGCAAGCAGAAATTCAAAAATGCTTTCTACAACATAGCAACTGGCATAGATTTTCATTCATTATACAATTATAAGTTGGCACAAAAAGGAGAAAATTATAAATACATACATTATAGTGTAATATATTTTGTCTGAAATTCTCCGGTACACTGTTGATGTACATATAACATCTTCTATTAATCCCTTCTAGATGGAGAAAACCTACCTGAAGGCTTGGTTATAAAGACAACAACAACAAGGAGCCCTACTACTCTACCAACAACAACAAAAACAATAACAATAAAGAAATCAACTGTTAAATCAACTCAACTGACTAGCACCAAAAGAACTTCATCTACAGAAGATGTAGCAACTTCTGGCATGGCTAAGGCAAAAATCAGTACCACGTTGACCCCCAGAACATACAAAAGAACTGGTAGAAATTTGGATCGATTCCTGACAATAATTCCAATTAACTTAACAAAAGCAAAGGGCAGAAAAGGTAAAATCTTAGAAGTTTTTTTATCATGAAGGAAACATACTTTTCATCCTGAATTGAGGAAATTGAGATTTTACCCCCCCCCCTTTACTCCCCCCTGTTTGAATTTTAACATTCTCTAAGCTGCATAACAATAGTCAGAACTCTGTAAGGAACACGGCTCAACCATGGTAACACCATTACATATCATAATTTTGTCAAATGAATGGTCTAAGGCTATTCTAAGAAACCGATTCCTTGTAAAACTGAACCAAACATTTGAATATAAGATTTCTAAAACCAGTTAAGGCACTTGAATAAGATATATGAATAATGCGAGTAAGTTGTATATAATCTTGAGTATAATGAAATCCAATCCAAAGAGAGTCTTTATCCATGTTCCAAATGACTGGCTGCTATACAAGCATAGTCTGCGCACTATTCAAGTATTCCCTCATCGTCTACTGTGGTCAAGTGACCTCTTATCTCCCTTAGCTCAATATCCAAGTCCCTTAAACATTATAAATGTTATATGTCATATCATAAGTCGCATTATACATATCAATATAACTGTTGGTAATAATGTTTAATAATAATAATAAATCTTTTTAACAGTTTGGCAATGAATGATGGTTGGGTTTTCTCAGAGATATTTATCTAAATTTTGAATGAAAAGGGCAGATATTGGATGTGTTAAGGCTTTTGTCTCAAGAGCTATGACTAGAATTTTAAGGATATCAATGGAAGTTTGCTTGATTTTATGTTTATTCTTCAAAATATCAGTGCCCTATTTAATGTTTTGATAAGTACTTCATGATAATTTGCACATAGTTCTAGAAAATACCACAAAAACACTAGGCTAACCATTGACTGACTTTCAAGAAGAATGAATTCTACCTTTTAGCTTTTATGCATAGAGCTAGAAATTCTGAGCATTCTAAATGTGTGCATATATTTTTTGTGGAAATTTTTTAGAAGCTAAGAAAAATCAATCTGTTAGAATTGTCAAATGCATTTGGCATATCAAAATCCCCGTGAAAAACTGGTCAATGTTAGGTTTTTACAGCAATGTTATTTTTACCAGTATTACTGGTCCAGTTTATGTTCCTAAATTCATAATATCTATTTTCTATCCAATTAGTGCCAGTGTCCTTATTGCATTTACTATTGCTTGTCTCTCCTTTAATGCAAGATATTTTGTAGGTTTTCTTAATGACAACTTCATGACCATATTAATGCAAATAATAGGACTTGATTCAGTAGATTTTTTGTTCTAGATTTTCTGTTTTCAAATCTTTTAAATCCAATAAATTCAAAGGCAATACAAATAACATCAAGAGGAATTAAAATGTTTTCGTTTTTCTTCAGATAAGAAGAAGAAAAAGGAAAGCCAATCTGCAAAACGTGAGTTTTCATCTGCAATGCTTTTGGCACATAACTTTATACTTTCTGTCTTCTTTCTTTAAGAAAAGACATGTTTGAAAGAAAATGGTTATTTAGTTTATTTGTTTCTCATTGTATGTATTGTTCTCCACTGAAACCTAGTAATAATGTCAAGATTGGGGACTTTTTTTAGAGAATTGCTAATCAATGTCAATCTACAAAATTTGTTTTGGGTCCAGATGTAATGACCATATGACTAGCTGGATGGAGATTAGAAAGCAACTGTACCCATTCAACTGGAGCACTGATAGCTCTGGGACCATTCAAGATTCATTTTTTTGCAAAAGAGGTGTACCATAATCTTGAAAATAGCCTTCTTCCTGATATTTTATTCTTTATAGTTTCTGTGAGGTTTTCATTTATGTAAATTTTTGTTGCTGGCAATCCATTAAGCATATCAATTACAACTTGATAAAGTGTGGTAACATAAATTTTGTTACAGAAACTGCAAAGAGACTTGTCCCAAAAAATAAATTCGAAAAGAAATTAAAAATTCCAAAACCTACAGAGAAATTGCCAAAACAGACAAAAAAGAAGCTTAAAAAAGTGAGGAAAGAAACAAGGAAATTAATGAAAAGGACCAGATCCAGTGAGTATGGATGTGAGTGTGTGTGTTTTTATGTGGGTGTGTGTGGTTACTTGACTGTGTATGTCTGTGGAAGTTTCATTAAAATTATTAAAAGAAGACAAATTGAAAAACAAACATAGATTGTCTTATCTAAGAAAGTTTTATTTGTTGGTCACATTCAATGCTGATTTTTTTTATAAAAACCTTGAATTCTTTTATCATTTAAGATATATATATAATTAGCCTTTAATTTTTTTCCTGATATGATGTTGTAGCTCTAATATATTTACTGAATTGTTACTCCAGTGGGTTTTATAGAAAGTCAAAAGTCACTAAACATGCATGGAACCAATTTTGTTATCTTGTGAGGAACTTCTCCTAACAAATGTGTAGGTGGCCTGATCGAAATCAACAAACTATATTTTATCGATAATTTGATTATTGACCTGTCAGTCATATTCACCTGATGGATTCTAGTATTAGAGATGTTTTGTGATACAGATCATTTCATTGCATATAATTTTAAACCTTCTATATTTAAGTGCACACTAGCTGTCAAAAACTATCTGCTTTGCTGTATTGATCATGGTGGTAGTTAGGACTATGACATTGGGGGGGGGGGCAATTTTTTTACCAACATATAGAAATGACTTTAATAAAAATAACGTACTGCGGTAACGCCCAAGCATTTACAAGCCAAAGCAGTAATGGGTGAGAGAGTTAAGAGGCAACATGTGCACATTTTCAAACTTAGTACGATCTGCAAACGTTTTGGTTCGGAGATCCTCAAGAATATTGGGGAGCAGGCCCCTTGCCCTGCTCTTGCTACCACCCTGGTATCGATATATACCCAAAATCATCTTTGACTAATTCTTTAATGGTGTAGAATTTATGAAAGTTTCTTGGTTACACTATTGTTTATAAATTATATTTGAAGCTATACTTTTTCTTTTAGAATTTAGAATGCTGAAAAGATCACGAAAGAAGAGAATAAGGTTAGAGGAGAAATCCTATATGAAGGTAAGAGAAATCGAAATGTAGATGGAATCATTTTTTATTCCTTATCTTTGTTATTTCATCAACTAATTTTATCAACTATTTTATCATCTTTCTAAACAAGGCGGCGATGGTTTGAGATTTTGTTTGTTGGTGATATTAGGATATTAGGAAAAGCTGTTTCCTTCAATGCTTCATTTGAGCTAGGCGACGTGTAAAATCTAATGCTATGATATTGAGACATTAAGAGCAGGTGGCTTGAAAGAATCATATTTAAGAATAACAAAATGTCAGGTGAAGCAAAGGAATTGCAAAAAAACGCAGAACACTTTTCCCGTTTTAGATCCATATTGATTTGAGATCTGGTGGTTATTTGCCAAATTTTAAGTGAAAACAATCTGACAACAAGAGTCATTTACAAATTAAAAAAATCAATGTTTTATACCTTTTGCTAGTATTTGGCAACGGCTTTTGTACCCTTGAAGAAGCAGCACACGGCGTTGTGAAGTATTGGCAAAACAATTGTAAACATATCACTTTTTATCGGTATCATTGATGATTTATGTGGTCGTATGATCCTTGCTTTGTTAGTTTCTATTGAGTTTGCACGATACATTAAATGTGACGTAGTGCATCACTTTTGTATTAGGAGTTTTTAAGGAATTGCTCGATGCTGCTCCGTTCGATCAAAGAAGAGAAGAGAGAGAGGAAAAGAAGACGAAATAATACAGTTACATTTGGAGAAGAGGAGGTAATTAAATAATATTTTTCAATTTTTTAAATCATATCAGCGATTACACTGATATGAAATTTTTTTAAAATTGATAAGGGTTTTGTGACATGGTTTGTCTACGAGAGAAGCATTTCTTTGAGATAATTATGAGCTATCTTGATGGCGTTTGAGTAGTTCTTGCTTTAATGGTCTGTTTTATCCTTTCAAGCTTCTCATATATCCAAGACAAATAAGTCTTTAATGTGTTTTAAAGGCATTAAATGCAACACTTTAAAGCGTGTTTGTGAATGCCTTGTGGGCAAAAAGCTTAAATCTGAAATTTTAAAATACGATTTGTCTCAATAAAAGCTCAAAATTGAAACTTAATTGGCAATTATTGATTCAATGATTTCCTTTGTTAAATTAAATGCTTAAAGGTTTTTTATTCAGACTTATAATAGCAGAATTTCCAAAAAGTAATGAAGTAGGGATTAATCTAAGAGCTTAAGGAAGCTGGCACATAAAGCTGGCACGTGAACAGTGAAGGCTCAGACACATGAGTTTTGCACTGAAGAAAATTTGTGCATACTATCTTAAGGAAGTAAATGACGAAACCTGTCAGAAGAAACAAACTTTGTGCGTCAGAATTTGATTAAGCCTAAAAAATGTCAAAAGATATTGATAGATTTGACAAGCTTTTGATTATGCATTCTTGAAAAGGAATTTTGTTTGAAAGCTTTCAATAGGAAGATCTTCTGTAATGGCTTCTGAGTTTTTAATGCGATTTCATGTTCTCGTTTCGCGTGCTTCTTTTGTGTTCTTCATCTTTGTTTTTAACATCTTTTCTATTATAGTGTTTAGTTAATTGCCCTTCTTTTAATTTTCTCCTTTAAAAACGATTCATTTTGTATAATAAATCCATATTGAAGAATTTCTTGATAAGAAACAGTTTAAAAATTGAGCGTCTCCCAACAAGCTGTTGTCAACATTTTGTTATTGTTAACAATTGTACACGATGATAGTATTTCGCATCCATCATATTAATTTTTTTCAAGGAACCTCCAAACAGCTACGAAATTGTCCAAACATTGAACAGTTTTGGAACCGACCTTGCTTATTCTTTGGGGCAAGAGAGAGCGAGAAATAAGAAAAAGAAAGAAGTTCTTCCAGTATCAGTTGATGAAATAGGTATGAAGTCACAACATTTTCCTAAATCCTTTCTGCTCCACACAACAAAGGCTGTCGAGTGTGCTTTTTTTATTTCAAATTTTAAAGTTCTACTTATTTTTCTTTTCATAACAATGTACATGAATATTTTAAAAACCGGTGTAAGACTCATCAACAACAATTTTTGACACGACAAAGATTTGTCGAAGATTTTCGTAACCCTTATATCAAATTTCTACTTTATTTGACCCAGTCATTCAATTCATTGGAAAGGATTTTGCCTTCAGATGCATTTTTTAGGCCAATGAGACAGCTAAACAAAGCTTTAATGAATGCAGCTTCATACAGGGGAATTCAAAATGAATTATTGTTTCTTCTGACTGTCTGACAGTAAGATGTATTCACGAACTATATCTCTCTTTTTTAATAATCCTTTCCTAGATATGGAGGTATCAGTTGTTTCAACAGAGCAATTTACGGGATACGTCTTTCCGGACCCATCAAGTAACCTAAGTGTCTCAGAGAGCATAAAATTGCCTTCGGGCATTTTCAAAGACACAGCCACAGGTACTGCATGTCTCTAATGCTTACATATAGAGCTTTCGCTGTGTTTTTAAAGATTTTTTTTCACGATTATTTAGTACATAATCAAGCTTCATATAGGATGAATGCTCCGAAAGGATGAAGGGATTGCATCGAAAAAGAGAGTAAAATCATATTCGTATAGTAGTCTCGTTTATGAAAATTGTTTGAAAAATGTGACGGGCTCAACCCCTTATCATTTGTGCCTGGATATAGCCAAGGATCATGTACCACACAGAAAGCTGTGAATAATTGTTGCTTCACCACAGGGGGACTGTGCTTCACAAGAATTTTACTGGGAGAGAATTTTACTGAAGTTCCAATTTATTTTGTCCAGGGTTGTGTGCCTTCCTTAAGTTCCTTAGTAACTTCCTTAATAAGGAGTCCCAAGTCTTAATTCATGAATTTCATGAATGAAAAAATCTGAATTTCATGCCCAAATTCTTTTGAACTTTATGATCTGCTAGAAAAGCCAAGATGTAATAAAACAATATTTTTTTAATTGGTTTGCATATGAATTCCTTTTTGTTACTTTTTCTTTCTTATGTTTTAGGAAATGGAACGATAATTTCAATCGTTTATAATGCTCTTTTTGAGATGACAGATCAAAATTCCACAGGATCGTTATCGTAAGTATCCTTTTAAAATTTTTCAAATTTTATCATTTCGAAATTAAGCGTTGAATCTTATCAGCAGTAAATAATGAGAAAATGCGTGGAAATAAGTTGAAAAGGTTGCATAAAGAAATTGAACCTTCGCAAAAGTTGCATTAGGGTTTTGTACAACCGTCCTGTCCCTCACACCAAAGCTTTGCAAAATATAACCAACATTCTAGCTGTCGGACTCGTTGTCTTGCTTAGTGCGTCTTTTTCTAAGAACAAAAGCAGCACTGTTTCAAGTTTCTTTGTAGGTTGAAGTTTTTTCAGAGTATATTAGAATATATAAAAAGTCAAATTGGTCTTATCAAGTATTATTTTCGAAAAGAAGCGATAACTTTTTCTTGATCTATGAGACAAAGCGATAGAAAGCTGTTATTCAGAGATTCCATGCTTACATATAAATATGTATAAAATTTAAAAAGAATTATCTTTAGAATTTAATACTAGATGTTATTTCCAGGCTACATGTCCAATCATCTGATTATTTTAGGGATTGATCATTAAAGCTGAGTTTTGTTATATTTTAGAGGTGCAACCGTGAACAGCAAAGTGTTATCCACAACTGTTTATCCACCCCCAACTGGTATACTCAAAGAGCCAGTCGAAATTGTATTAACCCATTTACAAAAGCCCAACTCCACTACACCGGAGTGTGTGTTTTGGCGCGTTAATCAAAGGTAGGGTTTGTCTTACACTTTACTTGATTTATATGACTGGCCTTTCACATTGTACGACAATGTCTTTTTGGACTTCAGATTTTCGGGACAGATTTTTATGCTCAATCATGTTACACATGTTTTTAAGTCTTACACAAGTCTTGTCAAATGTTTTTAAAATTATTGTACTAGAAAAAACAATTGTTCAACATCACCATCCCCCCCCCCCCCCCCCCATGGAATGCATCAGTAAGGAGAAATGGATTACTACCAAAGCCTTATTTTCAAAAGCCCGGTAAATCCTAGACCTTTGTAGGAAGACGAACAAGAGAAAGTTTTAAATGAGTGAACCAACCCTTTGTCCTGGAGTGAAATAGCATGCCCATGGAATGAAGTCATTCTTACGCATGCTCTTTTACTCCTGGACGGAGGGCTTTGATTCTGATACCACAAGTCACTATTGGTCCAGGTTTGATTGCGGTAACCAAGAATGAGTTATGTCCGGTTGTTTTAGCTGCTCGTTTCCTTTTGACTGTTTCAATATAATGGTTAGTACTATTAGTCTGGAAAACCGGCCCATTCATGTCTATCTTGAATTACCTGTTGTTTACAGAAGTGTACATCCAAGAATATTTGTAGGGAAGTTTCTAAATTTGCAACAAGTCGTGGAATAGTTCTTGAAAATGCTAGGCCGTTTTAAGTGAATCACATTTCTTCTTGTATCTTATTTCTGCAAGTTAAGGTTGATAGTTATATGAAACTTTGTAAAAATGATTAACGAAATTATGCAGCTTGCTTTTAAATCGATGAAAGAAATATATAATTCAAATTTTAGCAATCCATCTGAAGGAGAATGGTCAACAGAAGGTTGCGTTGTCGCAAAATCAAATTCCAGCCACACTGTCTGTCGCTGTAATCATTTAACAGACTTTGCTGTTCTTTTTAGAGTTTCGAAAACGAAAAAGGTAATTTTACTCCTTTTGTCACTGGAATCTATTAATCAGCTTAGGAATCAAACCAGCTGCAGGTTTTTTAAAGGGTTGTTAGCCTGAACCAGAGAAAATATTACAATATAAAGTATGCAGTTTTTTATTAGAATCTTGAAAAAAAATTCAGTAAATTTCTCTGGTATATGATGTTTGTAAGTTTTCCTTCCTTGTTCTTGCTGTGTTTCTGGTTAACGTTCTGAATAAAAACATTATCAGTGAAAACCATTTTGGAAATCTTATTTCTAATTTTAATTCGTATCGTTTTTACACTTGCTTCTACAGTCTAGGCCATTGAAGTTGCTTCGGTTTCTCATATTCATTTGCATTTAGCATATACATAAGCTTCCATGAGGTATACACCCTATTTGCAAGTTTGATCTTCTCGACTTCTACATTTTGAGACACGTTAAAGACTCTGCACTCTAAAGAAATGTTTCATTGTCTCCTTATCTTGTATTCTTCTGTTATTTTTAAATGTTTTTACTTTACCAAATTTTCAAAAATCTTTTTTGTCAAAACGATTTTTGAAATTTCATTTTAAATTTCAGATAAGATCAAAAATCTGGAATGTTATTTTCCCCCATGCCCAATTTTGTGATGCTGAGGCCTAACAACGAGTTAGCTTGTTTTATTTCCATGACAGACCACGTGTTATGATATAGCCCTTAAAAGGGGAATACCCTATGATAACCCATTCGTATTTCTTTTCCGTAGATCTCAGTCGAGCATCGCCAAGCATTGCAGATCGTCAGTTTAGTTGGCTGCTTTATCTCTGCTGTTTGCCTGTTAATCACTGTTCTCGTTTTCCTAATTCTTAGGTTAGTGTAGAAATTAGCTTACTCGGTAGGCCACTTTGGTTGCACCGCAAGAAATGTTATCTTTTTCCTGAGCCGGCTGCTAGCACAATAACAATAATGCATTGGCGTAAGCATTGGCGTATTGGAGGCATCTGGGGCCCTAATGAAAAACTCGAAAATGGGACCCCTATCTACAGGCTGCAAGAAAGTCCCATCAAACACTGTAGAGCACATCAAACTCAATAGTGAAATGTAAAAATGAGAATTTTTTTTGTCAACAAGTGGGAGCTTGAGTTATAGAAGCTTCAGTAGACGAGATTTAAAAGTATTAAAATGAGGTAAAATTGAGCAAAGTCTTAAGAACATAAAAAAAATAATCTAGGATCCCTTTTGATCGGTGGCCCTTAGTTATCGAATTAAGGTGCACCAAACTGTGTTACGCCACTGCTCATAAGTTTGTTTTTGGAGGGGGTTGGGGGGGGGGGGAGTCGCCAAAATTACGAAAATCCTTTCTTTTCTATGAAAAATTCGTGTTGTTCCTATTGTTGTTAAAACAATGGTGCCGGAATAAGTTCTAACACTGTCAATGACCTGCTTGCTCGTGCTCGGGCAATTCTAGGATTCAAAATCCCACTACGCTTATTATTATTAAATTCAAAATCCCACGACTCGGTGAAATTTCCTTTGCACCTTGGGTACGTTGAACTATTAAAGAGGGAAATGTTCATTCGATAAACAATTTTCTATGATAATAATGCCACGTTTTTGCTTTTTAGAAAGCTCCTTCGATCCACGCGGAATTTGATTCACTTGAACCTGGCAGTCGGATTACTGTTCGCCAACCTCCTTTTCATGATTTCAGGCAAAGTCGTGTCAAGCAAAGTGAGTTGGCGTTAAATATGTTCAGTTTATCGATCTTAATCTCATGTTTGTTTGCTTTATAAATGCCCCAGAGTTTTTTTTAAGAAAAAGTTACTTTCAATGGGTCTGTCTTTTGAAGCTATATACTAATTTATTTTTGATGTAAAAATGAAGGGGCTTTAGCTACCGAAAGAAACTGGTCTGAAATTTATTTTAAGTATAAAGTTGGCCAAGTTAGCTTATAAGAAACAAAGTCTTTCTGTCAGAAGTGGGATTCGAACCCACGCCCACAATAGTGGACTGCGACCTGAACGCAGCGCCTTAGACCACTCGGCCATCCTGACATAAAGGCTCCCGAGAAAGCTCTTGTTCATACATAGCTTTCATTCACGTGCTATCTGTGAGGGCACCATGGCAAGATACAAGGTAGGTCTAGTTGTGCCAGCAACCTATCTTGGGGCACGCCCTTATTGTACTAAAAAAATGTTCAATTCATAAACATATATCATAGTGCCTGCCAGAGCCTGCTAGAATGCTATTTTTATTAGTAATTCTAAAAAGATATTCCCCCTCTAAAGAATTTGTAAATCCATTCTTATCAGATTAACGTTTGCATTGATTTTGTCTTAATGGCTGAAATTTACTAAAGGCTCCATTGATCTTATTAAAACGTGGAGCATCTGTGTTTGCAACTAACACATTCGACCAAAATGGGCCTCTCAAGAGAAGGGTTTGCAAACAACTAAGCTGTTATGGTTTGGTTTCATATAAAAAAACACTGATATTCTTACCTACCATCGATGTAGCAAGGAGCTTCTTTCGCAGCGTTGCTAATCAAGCGTTGCGACACCAAAGTACGAACGAAGCATTTTAATGCCACTAATATAAAAGTTAGTAACAATATACGCAAATAATGGTAAAAACTTGTTCAGATATATTTATAGTTCAAGGTAAAAAAATGTAAAGCCGTAAAGTTACGTGACAAAGATAGATTAAAAAATACTTTCGTAATGGGCTACTGAGATAAAGACCTTCTGGCACAAAAGTTTTACAGATGTCTGAGGATTGAATTGCTAACAAATATAGCCATAGTAGAACCATTTGTAATCTGTTACTTTCAAACCAAATTTACAAGCAAGTTACATTGATTTTTTGCAGTATGCGTGTCTTGCTGTGTCGATCTCCCTGTTCTACTTCTTCCTGGCTGCATTTTTCCTGATGCTTGGAGAAGGCATTTACATATGGATAATGGTTGCGAAGGCATTTTCACAGAACTTAAAAGCTTGGATGTACATGCTCATTGGCTGGGGTATGACCTTTAGAGGAAACCAATTTGCTTTGCATTTTAATCCCTAGTAAATTATTTTATATAAACTAAGGAGTCTCTGTCATCCATTTACTTTTGATTAAATTGTCAGTGGGGCATCTTTTGATAATAATGAACCGGTCCTTTTATGACCAATTTATCACTGAACCCTATTTCTAGAATCTCTTAATAATCTCAGATGGTCTGCCAAAATACAGACCTATAATTATTTATTATTATCTTACCAAGGTACCAAAGTCACGTAAGTTTGAGCACGGAAATAGAAGATGGAAACGGAGAAGCGGAGGAGCTTATCTGTTCCTATCTTATATTTCCTCGCTCAAAATGTTGTTGCTTCGGTAACAAGTGTAAACTGCTTGCAACAATATCTTGTGATTATTTTATTTTTCTGCATACTGTGTACCGTAGTGCTAGTAGATATTAAAATAACATTGATTTTACTTCAATTGTATGCATTCTATTTGTACCACTAGATTATTTTTATCTATCTAATTCCTCTTTCAGGCCTTCCTTTGGTGATCGTTGGGGTTTCTTTTGGCATCTTCCGCCTCAATATGGTTGCTGAAAACTTGTGAGTCTATAATGTTTTTTTTATTTAGATTGGAGACGTTGCTTTGGTAAATAAAACTTGTTCTTCCTTTGTTAGTGAGTGTACGTGATAAAACAATTTTTGAGTGCATTCTGTCAAAAGTTGTTATCAAAATCTGAAAGTGACTGTTGAAAATATATCTGACAGTTGTATAATAAAACTCTGTTGAACGGCATTGAATGATCTAGAAGATGGGTTACAACTAGCAATCAAGATGTAGAAAGTAAAGACAACAATGATTACCGGGCCTAGTGAATGGGCTTTGAAAGAATCGCTTGACTAGAACCGCTTGGGAAACATATCCTTATGTCTCCAAAATGAACAAGTACCCTACAAATGGCACATGTTGGAGAAGCTTGTTGAATTTGCCTTGAGGAGAAGCTTGTTGAAAATCTGAGACTTTGATTCAAAATTTGCAAATAAGCCTTTTGTCATACACTTTTATTTGATGAATTCACATAGCAATTATTAAAAGTAAAAAGGCATCAATAAGAAATTTCTTGGGTTTCCCTTCTAGCTGTTGGCTCTCTGTCCAGAGTGGGGCTATATGGGCATTTGTTGGCCCTGTTATACTGGTCATATCGGTAAGCTTTCAAGATTTGTCACCTGCTAGCCACTTTAATCATTGTTTCAAGTATAGCTTCATACATTCATGTACTGTATACCAGAACCAAGAAACTGTTAAGAAGAATTTTATTTTCTCTTATAATTTAGAGGACATTTTGAAATTTCCTTGCATCATATTTTTTTAGAATTCCTGATAAGATAATTATTATCCTAAAAACTGAAGTTTTATTAGACGTTTAAATTCTTGTAGTTGCCTGATATAATACCTACGTGTATGGCAACTACGAACGGTAAGTGTAAAACACAACCTATGTAACTCTTTCCCCAATTCATGGCATTTAACCTTTTTCAGGTGAATCTTTGTATTATTGTAAAGGCTTTGTGTACTGCTGTTGAGCACCATTCTGATGGGCACAGCTTGAAGTAAGTCGCTTTTGATGCCTATAATATAAATAAACTGTTCTGGTTTCTAGAGGCAATAGATTTAATTCTATGCTAGAGACGGGGTTGGATTTTTTTTAATGATTTATGGTAGAGTCGAGACAAGCATCCCCTCTGCTGCTTCTTGTTCCTATCTTGAGTTACTTTAATGATCTATGGTACATACGGGGGCAATCACACCCTACCTACAGCTTCTAATTACTATTTTGAGTTACTTTCATGATCTATTACATTGTCAAAATAACCTATCCGGAGCCACTTCAGTTTATACGTTCACCGTTTCGTATCTTAAGTTATCAGGTTTTTCCTAAAGGCTATTTTTACGAGCCTCTGTTTTCGTAGAAGCGACCTTCCTCCTTTTGACACATTGTCTGATTGGGTGGCAACCGTTTCAGTAGCCTGCCTACCAACGTCGATTTGCTCCGTAAAACCAGGCATTAATGTGTTGATCTCTTCAGTCGTATATCTTCCATTAATTCGTCGGATCAAATATAGCTTTCAGAAGAAGGGGCTCAGGTGCTGGGGCTCTTCAACTGATGTCATCATTTTCAAACTTTAATTTGTGAAGGATAGGCTCTTGGTATGCCCTGTAATGCTAAGGTTCTATATCTAACATGTATTTCTCCCTGTAAAATATGAGAATACTTATGCATTATTCGTTTTGTGTATAGGGTCTCGGGACGCTTAGCTTTAGTACTCATGCCAATTCTTGGACTCACGTGGCTCTTTGGTATCTTTACTATGAACGAACAGACAGTGGTATTTGAATACCTCTTCACAATATTCAACTCACTTCAGGTATGTCCACAGTCAGTTTTTTACATTGTTTATATGCCAAACAATTGGTAAACCCTTGTGTCCTAGTGCACAGGCTTTTAAGGAGATACGGGTTTTGGCATGGCTGCCAATTGTTATGAAGAGGTTTTCTTACATCGAGACGAATTTATGCGTGAAACTTGGAACCGGGTCAGAATAGTGCCTTTAAGGTTTAGTAGTTTAACAGTGAAATTGATTTTAAGTGTTTAAGATCTTGCCTTTTTTCTTGCTGACTATTGTGCTTGTGGTCTGACTCGTTTCGGGTTAGATTAGATGTACAAGATGTAAAGACAGGTCATAGATTTCTTAACCATGTTCAAAAAATGACCCCATTTTAGATGGAAACCATTTTGCATAATCATTTTATTTACGTATGCTACCAGCACATTCAGATTTTATTAAAGGAAAAATTGATTTGATTGGTAAATTGTTGATGCTTTTTTGGCAGGGGTTTTTTTCATCATTTTCAATAGAAGATTTGTTGTAATTCAGTCGCATGTCCTTTATTCAATGGGCTTTGGGGTAGTAATGATCTTTTGCTTTCTATGGCCTTGCATTTTAAGGTTGTAATCTCGTAAGCAGAGCCTTAAACATTTGTTGTTTTATATTTATTGGAAAAAATGAGAAACTTTGCTTTACTGTGTAAGCATTTTAAATGATAGTCGAAATGTGAAAAAAAGTTTTTGATGCAAAAGGTTTTCTGATTAATTGTGCCACCTGTGAATCAATGTTTGGCAATGTATCAATGTCAGCAATTCACAAAGTCAAAATCTCCTGTAATGTAGCTGTAGCTGTATAATGCCAGTCTGTTCTGGTAGTTTAGCAGAAATGCTTTAATGAAACGGTTTATAGAACCATACATCTTCATCGTTGCGTTATTTTGATCATAAACCTTGCATCCTCTTTTGTAGGGCTTCTTCATTTTTGTCTGCTACATTATCCTCAATAGAGAAGTAAGATTTTTTACTTATATCATAGTGCGTTGCATTAAACTTTAAGTATATCATCGTATTGAAGAGCCTTCCTGCAAACATCACGGCTTTAAACTCATTCTTGTTCTTTCATTCTACAAAGAGATTTTCAAACACTTTTCTCTGTTGTAATGTAATTTCCTAATCTTGTTACTTTCAACATCTTTTTTAAGAGCTCTGAATAGAATGAAAAGCATAGAATGTCTATACTATCCTATACCATTTTGAATTGTCTTCCATCACTGTATTCTGCCTTTTTAGGTAAAGACTGAATACCAGAAGATGAAGACACAAAAGTTGTACTCATTGTCACTGCAAGCAAAAAGTTCTCAGTCGACTACTGAAACGAGGCTACGACGCAGCCGAGCCGGAACTCAAGAGGAAGAACATATTGAGCTCGCATCTTGACGGTAGACCTTCATTTTATAGGATTTCATTTGAATATTTTTTGCTAAACTGCATCGCTTTTCCTGTTCATAGTATTTCATGAAAGATACCTCATTTATATAGAAGTGTATTGTATTGTATTGTATTGTATTGTATCGTATTGTACTCTATTGTACTCTATTGTACTTTATTGTACTCTATTGTACTTCTGTTATATTCTATTGTATTCTGTTGTATTCTGTTGTTTTTTGTGGTACAATATTTTGTACTGCATTTTTGTAATGTCATGTGCTGCACTTTCTTCTTCGTATGTTTTTTATTGTGTTATATTATAACGATCGATACTCTGTTGCATAAAACTGTAGTAAAAACTGGGTAAGCAGAAAATTTGCAACTGTATGGGGCCAAGTTGTACCTTAATTTGTTTCTTTTAACACCAAATAATGTTGTGTTGTATTGCATTTCTTTTCAATTTTAATTCTTTGTAAAATGTGCAAAAATCATAATTTATGAAATTAGCTTTTTTCCAAACTTTTGCCTTTGGTCTACCTTAAGCTTAATATTTTTAGAAAACAGTTCCTTTGATAAAGGACTCAAATTTGAAGTCATTAATCTGTCTATTTCCAATATTTTGAAAAAATCTTAGACATTGTATGTCTTAGAAAGCATCATGAAGTACGTCCAACAACAAAATCTGATTCCTATGGCTGATCCACCCCTTCCCCTGTACTAACGTAATCAGTATCTCTTCCACAAGACTTCCCTTGTAAATATTCTTTAATTGTCTTTCAAATCATTTTCGACTTAAGTACATGTTCTTTATTTTCTTAAATCTCTTCTTCTCGTTTATGTTAATAGAATTGCTTCAACAGGAACACATTTCTTTCAAACTTTCTTTAATACTACGTTACAATATTGCATATAATTGGTTGTTGTCCTCTTTTCTTTGAAATTACAATGTTTGCTGAAGGCACATGTTCATCATTTTATTTGTTTGCAGGCTATGAAAAATCAACGAATGTCAATCATTGAAGCTATTGCGTAAAAAAGAATTTCGGTGTCTTTGGAGTTCAGTTATCGTAAGTGTCACTGGCATGCTCTCGTTTGGAGCCAAGACGCAAATATTGAAAACTCTTTTCGGCACATTCCTTCTGCTGATCCTTTCAAAAGGAAAAACACTGTGTATTTTATTAATTTCTGACAACTAACCATATATGAAAAGATTTTAAGCTTATAAAAAGTTATTTAATTTTCGTGGATTGGTATTAATTTTTAAATTTGTCTATATTTTTTAAAAAAATTCAAGTTATCGTGCATCCCTTTTTTATTAGAAAAGTTGACGATTATTTTGAAACATCTCTTTTTGACCTGTTTTGTTATTAAATTTTATTTATTTTATATCTTTATTGACTATGTACTGTTTTTCGAGCTAAATTATTGGCTGCAGCTCTCTGCATTTTTTGCTAGACTTTGTGTTAAATGCCTTCACACGTATTCTTTTCATAATTGCGTCTAGACACCTTGCCCATTAGCAAAAAGGAGATCGTTAAGTTTTAAAATATTTAGTCACTATTTACTTTTTCGATTTCTGCATTACATACATGTATATCTTATGGCAATCATTTTAAAAGATCTTTTTTTTATTGTTACGAATTATATATTACTATGAGTATCATACTTCAATAGAAACTTCACTTTACGTTAAATCTATGATTTTTACTACAATCCCGTAGTGAAATAAGGTTTCTCGTTTCTTTTTAATTTATTTATTTTCGTTACTTTAAAAAAGTAGTTAGATCCGACTATAGAAATAATTTTTGAATCATTGAGTTAACTCCTTTTTTAAATACATACCTTCCCTATAACGATATCAAATAGGGCCCCCGAGGAATGTCATCGAAAACTCAAATTATCAACAATTTCAAATAATTTCAAATGAAACTTCTTGATGTTTCCATTAGTCTTTACAATCAATAAAGCTTGAACGAAGAAATCATTTAAGAATCATTGAAAATATAGTAACATTTGATTAAGTTCTCTTTCTTATCTACACTAATGGGAAACATAGGTTAAATATATAGTGTTATCGAATGAATTAATATCATCTGTTTTAAAACCTTTCTTAGATTTGCACTCACCAACGTAATGCACTAGATTTTTATTGGAACATGAATATCTTATTGTTTTGAATAATCATTTATCAGCGTAAAACAACAGATCTTTGTTACGTTTCAAGCCTACCTGGGTACACTGGATGAATTTCAACAGCAGTGGTGCACCGAGCCGGTGCGATGCGATGCGAGTCAATGTTACGTTGTAGCAGAGTTCGGACAATTTTTGCCTTATTTGCATCACTCAAAATTTTCTTTGTATCTTGTGAACAAAAGCTTCTTAGTTTTGGTGTTTAAGTAAATCATATAGGTTTTGCCTTTACACTTCGTCAGGAAAAAAATTCAAAAGTTGAAGCACCAGTAAATCTTTCTCATCTCATATACTCTCTCCAAGCTATGCATTGGTCTTTCCAAAAACTAATACGTCATTGGATAACTTTCCTCCAGTTCACAGGTATGAGAGGTTTATTCATGACAATATCGGAATTGATCGATATATTTGCTTGTAACTCGTGGCCCCAAAACTGTCTCTACTTTTGTTCCAATTGGAGTGACAGATAGCTTTATTTTTTCATTGAATATGTTACTAAGATACCGCTTGGGGGATGTTTTTACCAAAATAAGACCGGATTGCCATCTATGTTACAAAACAAATATGCATATGGCCTTGACAAAGGCAGAAAAGCAAATTTTTTATAACATATTGGCTGAAAGCTTTTTCGTCTGACACTCATCAGAGCATAAAACGTCAGAATAAGTGTCCGAAAAAACACGATGAAAAAACCCCAGTTGTGGATCGAAATAGACTAATCAAAAAAACGCAAGCACAAGACCGGTATAGTTGTCCACAGAAAAATTACCACTGGAGTCCAAGAGAGAAAACTAACTCCTTCTGTCTACACAATAGCGGCCTTTTCGTTTGTATGTAGATCAATTTCAAAACTGCAGGATGGTATTTTTCAAACAGATTTTTTCAAAGCCATTTTCAAGTTCTGTCACGCAAAATTTTTCGTCCAATAATGCAAATTCGTCAGAAAATAGGCTCTTAGACCCTACCCTGGAATTTGATCATCAGGACGCCCTTGCAACTGCTCTGTCAATGATAAATGAAATGTGGTTCAATAGAAAGTGGGAAATTACTATAATACAGGAATTAAGTGAAAAATTTCCAGATTTTTGCAGCAACTGTGCAAAGTAACTTATCATATGGTGGGATGGAGTTTTGGTGCAACTTCAGGCCCACCTTGATCTATGCAGAATAAAAACATCGAAAAAGTGATTGCAATTATTGGGTAAAGAACACTTATTTGTTTAGAATAAATTTGCCTTAGATTTGATGGTACATCTTGTCTTCAGGTCAGAGCAGTTAAATGAGTTAAATTGTGAATGCGGAGGAGTAAGAATAAGTAAGACACCTGGTACAAGCCTCGTTTGGAGGTTGGCCTAAAAAATCTTTGTTGCTCCTAGGCAAGTTGAAGTTTGCTTGTTGATTAACAATTTCGGGGACTTTGTATGCAAAAAGAACGGCTGACAAAGCTTTTGAATAATAAAAAAGTCTGGAAAATAGTTTTTGTGGATTCAAGCAGCTGAAAATGGTCAGTGACGAAGATAGCGACGTCGTATCCCTCGAACCCGCTGACGAGGGGTTTAGCGCAAAGATCAGGCTATGGGTTTCGTGGTCTTGGCGATACCTTTGGGGGATATGGTTCTTGATGATTGTTGGACTTCTTTGGACTTTTCGTGGCCCTCTTAAACTGCGCGAAAATATCAATTTTGGTAAGTGAAAATTAAATGACATTAATTTCAGTAGTATTATTGTTATTGTTTTTCGACAACCATATTGAAATAGCTGTCTGTCTGGCCAGAGTTTTATCAAGTATTTATAGAGAAAGAGTTTGAAAAGAAGCTCACAATTTCTTTCCTCTTTCATGGTTTGTCGTAGCTTAAAACAATTGTTTTCCAAGGTTCGATGTGTTTACCATTTCACATTTTCTGCCTTTGTTTAACGAGTTATTTATATAGTTGTTTTTTTATCCTGCTATATTCTATAATGCCAATAGTGATTCATTTATAAATTCCTAGCTTTTATGAACATAGTTTAGTTTAGAACTAATTTGACTACACGTTTGCTTAAGGTACCTTTGCTCAAGAGCTGTTTAAACAGCTTTGTAACTAGCTCACCAGCGCCCAAGGGGAAATGGTATACCACAAAAGAGATATAACTCTATTATCCAGGACCATAGCGAGAGGAAAGTCAATAAGCAGGCTGAACGTGTCTAGTGGCACATTCTCCAGAAAGTTCATTCATATGAACAGAAACCCCTCGGAGGGCTCTTAGAATGCTGAGTCTTCTTATTGATATCACAATTCTATCCAATATAATTTACAAAACACAGGATGTTTTGGAACTATAAGACATGTTTGCTTCTGTTTCCCACAGTACAACTGTGAAATACATAAACATCACCCAAATAACAATTAAACAAAAAATATGCTTACATGATACAAACTACAATCAACTCTATGAATTATTTCACTGTGCGAAAATGATATTAAATGTTTGATCACAAATACCGTTTAAAATTTGAATGTAAACTGTTGTGAATGAGAAAGCTATGCAATTATCTAAAAAAATTGAAAAGTTTCAAAATTCAACAGTTTAATGTTTATTATACATTTTATATGTTACTGGGTTGTTCGTCATATTCTCCAACTCATGTATTAGAAAAAAATTGCCAATTTTATTGATTTTGTTTGAAAATTTATTTTGAACTTTTTTGTCAAAATTTTCCTTTTTGACCTTTGGAAATTAAATTTATTGCATATAATTGAGAACTCTTAGGTGAAATTTCTGTTGAATTTCTGTTGTCAACGAATGAGCAGTATAATTAGCTTAACATTGCTTATTTGTAATACATTCTACATCATTGTTTCAATAAATACTTTACCTTTGGTATGGACGTATATGTTAATACTGAATAAATCTTCTTACTTGAATTATCATTTGGTAATGCTATGATGTGACAAGAAATGAGAAGAAAATTGACACCATTCTAGAATTTGTCACAAACTTTCTAAAGAATTCACAGTCTATAATGTTATAAGCTGCAACTTATCATAAATGTTGGTATATACTTTGTACTTTGTGTAAATACTTGCAGCACAATCTTTCATTAAAAAACCAGTATGTGTTTGCATATATTTGGCTTTGTTGCCTCTATCTCATATTTTTTGAATGGTGTAATAATTTATTTTCTTTCCTTTTCTGGTTTGTAGCATCAATATTTATGTCTGGTTTAACTCCAAAATTTTATGTTGCATTAACTGGAACATCATCACTTATATCAGGACTTATATTGGTATGTAACATGCTTTTGCACCCCAAAGTCTCTGTTTGTTATGAGTCAAAATATTGTAGAAAAAAATTTTATTTTGAAAATGAAAAAATAGAAGCTTTTAAAAGTTACAGAATTATTTTGATGATAACAACTAACGTTGATAGCTATGATATCATTGATTAATTTTCACGATAATGAAAAAGGAATCTTGATACTTTAACTACTAAATATTTTGAAAAATTAAGAGGTGTCTGATGCAAAGTGAATATAATATGAATTAAAACAGTTACGAAATCTTTGATTTGCCCCATTTAGGAAAAAATTGTTTTCACAAAATATCAATATGCGTTTGCTTTAGTTATGTTTTTGGTGCACCTGATTTTAAGTGTTATTTTGGACAAAAAAGAGATCATGAAGTATTTAGCCATTATCAATACTTCTATCATTTTTAAAAGTTTGTCTTGTATTTTTAGCAAGCAATAAGCATTCCTTGCTTTGAATATTTATCAAATTATGGCCTTCATAAGATAAGGGTCCTTTGTTTGATTTGAAGTCAAATAGGATATTTCACACTGGATGTGTCTGGTTTTCTTTGTTGGAAAATCTTATACCAGATATGTCTGGCTTTCTTTTTTGGAAAATCTCACACTGGATGATATCCAGAAGTTTCAAAAGTTTTTGAATCTGGAATTGACTAGGCCTTTTGTCTTTTATTGTAGATGTTTGAATGGTGGTATTTTAGAAAGTTTGGGACATCTTTCATTGAGCAGTTCTCAGTTTTGCACCTTGGCCCATTGCTTGGAGTTGGTGATGATCCACAACAAGTGCAAAACTTAAAAGCAGGTCTGTATCAATCAATTTTCTTATGAAGTAAAGTATCTCATTTGTTTAATGGCTTAAAATAAAAAAGAGGGTCTTATCACGTTTATGATGACTACTAATGGTGTAACAATTAAGTTTGAGCGTGACAATGTTTTTGAATCCTTGAATCAAAATGTTTTTTTATTGTAGAATGCAAAATGTGGAGAAACCCTATGAGTCTTTTCAGAGGTGCTGAGTATCAAAGGTTTGTCTTATATATTATGATACACAAGATGCTTCAAATACTTTGACTCTTTTTTCCTTTTATATTTTACTCATTTCATGATCTGCTATAATTAGATTATCAAAAGTTTTTTTAAAGTTACATGAAAAAGGCAATCATGTACTATTTTTTAAATTGTAAAAATGCTTCAATATATTGATTTTGACATAAAATTCTGTACACTCTTTATCAAGTTGCAAATTTTATATGCTGGCAGATATTCTGTTTGATTTTTGCTGATTTATTGTGGTAAACATATTTCATAAAGTTTATAGCTAACTGACTCTAAAGTGAACTTTTTACTCATAATCATAATTTTCACCTATTTGTAGGTGATACAGCACCAAATTGTTTCTCCATCTATGTCTTTGTCTAGAAATTTTGCTATCAATGACCCTCCACCCACTCCCCTTGTCCCAGTCAGGAGGGTCAGGCCACTTCCTTCTTTGTTAACAACTTAGCATTGACCAAAACAAATATTTCTCCATTCAACATTTGCATCATTATTTAAGATGGTTCTTCAAACTTTCAATGCTAGCTAGAACTAAATGGAAACTGAATACTCATTCTCAAAAAATATATATTCTATGTATATATATTGTTTACAACAATTTACAGAGAGCCAATTTTTTGTGTTAGTGCAAGGCCAGTTTTTTGTAGGCTTAAAATTGTCTAAAATAACTTTCTTACGATTTGAAGGGATCCTTTTATGTATTTCTTTCCTTCAGTATGAATTCTGATGCTATCATAATTTTTCTACTCTAGGTTAAAATGGACTTTGCGTCTGGATGCTCTGACAAGCTATGACCTGTCATTATCAATGAAAGATCATCTTGTAAGTGATTATATTTTTTACTCTACTCTACTTTCCTCTATATAATTGGTTCTTGAGCAGATAGATATTTTGGTTGCAAGTGACCTCAACTGCACACTTCAATCATTTTTCTATTGAATTTCTATTAAAGTTAAGCAGGTAAATGATATCATTGGTCTCCTGGAAGGGGCAAGTGGGCTATTCAGTCTTGCAGAAAAATTTTCAAACAAATGTACCAGGATTCATGTAAGAAGCCCCAATCCAGAGTGGTGGACAAGTAACTACACTGAACTGGAATATCTTTTATCTGGGGTCTTGTTCGTTCTAATTGAATCTTTTGTAAATGTCTTTGCCATGTTTTAAGGAAAGGCAATGTAGGCAATTCCAATTGACTTGGTGTTATACAGTAGAACGATCAAGGTCACCTGAAAGTTTTAGATTTAACAAAAACATATGTGTTCTTACATGCAATCGTCGTTGCTCGTCGTAACTCAGAATCGTTTATTTGGGGAGAACCGGATTCTTAGTCGTCTTAATCTGACTCAAACTAGCCTTCTTCAAACCACGTTATCTTTTGTTTAGGTCAAAATACAATATCGTCAAGAAGTGAACCACTTTAAAATAGACTTAGCCGGTAGTTCTTGCACTGCATTTACACATAGGATTGTATGGCCCTGTTCTCGTATGTTCAAACGGCCTAAATAACTAATCCATTACGATACCATGCCATTCACTGCAAATATTGTGAGATCACGATGATCAAGGCAGCAGTGACACTATTTCGTATTCGTTTCACCTCTTTTTCATTTCTTATCTTGATAGAAGAGTGGGCGATTTGATTAATAGACTATTTTCTGTCTTTCAATAAAAATTTCATACTGCGTTTTTGGCCCAGAATAGAACAGTAATAAAAGCCATGCATAAATTTTTAATTGTAGACTAAAATCCTTTAACGATTTCATAAAATTCTCCAAATATCTAAATTAATCATATACGAATTTATACATGGCTCATAAAACTACCAAGAAGTATTAACATGGGCGTTCAAAAGGGGGCAAGGGTGAAGTGGCAGTAGCTGATAACGAAGCACAATTGCTGGGCTGCATCGAGCCTGTATATTTATCTAATTTCTAAACGCTTTTTATTTTGATTTTGTAGTCCTTGTTTACATGTGAGGTTGATTCTGATGCAGCTAAAGCAAGACCTGGTGACAATAGTATGTAATTGCTTCCTATCGAGTTCGATTCTTTCTTTTATTATAGCATCCATTCCAAAAGTTGAATTTTGTATTCTGCTTTAACTACGCTAGTAGTCAAGAATTGAAATCAATATTGAAACCCTGATGTCTGTCCAAAAACTTTGTATGGGGCTTTTTTTGTATAATTTTGGCATCAGTTGATTATTTTAATGATTTTCTGTCTTTCAACCTAACATCCTGTAGTATTTGTTGTTATGATTGGCATAATAATATAAGTTAACTGTTGCAGTAACTTCACGGACTTATTTCAAAATAAAAAAGATACCATGAACACAGACTGATTTGTTGTTTGGTTTCAGAAATGGTACAAGCATGGAAAGAGAAAGATCCTGCAAAGCGCATAGCTCTGGCCCATGACGCTGCAAGTGAATCTTCAAAGTACGCTGTGATTTTCAACCAGCTCTTGAAATCTGCGTCCTTCCTATTTATTACTTATTCTCCATTTTCGGCACTATAAATGCCCGGAAAGATTAATGAAAAAAGGTTAAAGTTCGATTAACATCAAGTAATTGTGAGACTTAATGTAGAAACATCAAGAAATAAACTTTTCATCAATATGGATAACTTTTGAAGATGCAAAGAAATGCCGAAGTTACCTACTCGAGAGCCTGTTGCTTTACCAAAACTAGCACTTGACTCCGATGTTGGAGACAGTTATATAAACAAGCATGTTTGCACGACGAAATAGCAGAATGCATTTCTTTAGAAGTTAATTTAGCTCCTTGTACTGTTTAAAGACGTTTCGGATAGCGGTTTAATACCTATCTGTGAATAGTAAGTATGTGCATAAAATTTTCCTTCTGTTTTTCAGTTGTGCAACTGCCTATATATTGTTATCAGAAGAAGAATCTAGAACGATAGAAGATGTAAGTTTATTTTTCGAAAGAATAAAAATTTATGTTTGTTGAAAGTACACGTAAGTTTTTAGGATAACAAGTAACCTTTTTTCTTCAAAGCCTTAAAAAAGCTTGAAGTGAATGTTCAAAATAGTTTGCTTATGCACCAAGGCACAAGTGGTTTGCATGCACCACCTGAATCTCTCGTACTGTTCACAGGATGAGGTACCAGTGACAAAATAGAATTACAAAAATTAATTTATTAAATTTTATTATTAAATTTATTATTAAATAACTAAAAAAATTAATTTAAAATTAATAAAATTTTAGAAAATAGTTATTGATTATTTTTCTATATACATATATGCTAAAATTGTGTTGATAACGATGGGCCACCATAGACTTGTCTCTTTTGTTGAATCAAATTCTATTATATATCGTTCTATAACTGGAAGGTCTGTACGCCTATCCTGTTTTTCCTCTTTTCAAATATCTTATAACGTCACTAAACTATAGGAAATATACCGATGGGAAACACAGTAAGATGAGCAAACAAAGAGTATTATTTGAAATATCAGTACCTTTTTTGGTGTCCTTATTTGTAGGCTGACTGACTATAAATTCTTGTCAGCCATCATTATTTTTCCATATCTGTTTACTTATGTAAAGTGTTCGTCATTAGTGCAATTTGTAAATCAAACAACGTTGATTTGGACAGCCAAGGCTACGAATCTGTTCTTTGTTCATACATTTTTAATTGTAATCAAAATTCAGTTCTTTTTCTATCATTCGTGCACATGGTATGTTCTTGTCTCTCGGTGTCCAATTCTTTGTTTCATTATATTTTATTTTTCAAGGCTAGCTTTTTCTAAATGAAATTCTTTTGCATTTGATGATTTCTGTGGTTAAAACGGAGCTCAAACGGTACGTGGTTAATTGTTACCTTCGTTTTATCATCTGATTATACATGGACATTTTCTTTTAGGCTGAGTCCCAATTTAAGCAGGCATTAAAAGCAAGTGAGACGTGGATACGACAAAAAAACTCGCCTTCGACTAACGATGATTCAGAATCTGTGCAAAGTATGTCTGTTAGGCATTTTAAAAGCCACAATGAATTTTAATTGACAATATTGATTTATTATATTGTACTATACTTGCTACCTAGTATTTGAAGGTAGTGTTTCCTGGTCCTTCCTTTCGATGTGACCACACATCGTGATTCCTACGGCTGGAAAT